TCAAGGACAAATATCCTTCTACAATAGAACATGCTCCTCAGGTGGCCACCCAGATTCTGCTTGGATTCCCCCAGTGACAAGGAGCTCTCCGCATTCAAACTTTTATCCATGACTTGGATAAAGACATGGATGTTACAACTGTCAAGTTTCTGAATGTCAGAATCAAGATCCTGAGAAGCTGGCGTAGAGAGCTGAAACAGTGTGAACTGAATCACAGCCTCTCGAAAGCCCTACAGCACTAAGTGGCAGAAAATCAGCCTGCACAAGCATAGATCAGGGATGACATAACAATTTGTCTGAAAGTTTTGTGTGTTTTTTTGAGACAGAGTCTTCCTCTGTCCCCAGACTGGAGTGCAGTGGCGCGATCTCGGCTCACTGCAATTTCCGACTTCCTGGTTCAAGAGATTCTCCTGCCTCAGCCTCCTGAGTAGCTGGGATTATAGGCACGTGCCACCACGCCCAGCTAATTTTTGTATTTTTAGTAGAGATGGGGTTTCACCATGTTGGCCAGGATGGTCTCCATCTCCTGACCTTGTGATCTGCCCACCTCGGCCTCCCAAAGTACTGGGATTACAGGTGTGAGCCACTACACTTGGCCTGAAAGTTTTTATTATACACAAACTCAACAGTTAATAGTATAAGCCAAGTGCTAAAAGTAGTATTACTGGGTAATATTTGTTGAAATCTGTATCACGTATTGTGCTCAGCATTTATGTGCATTAACTAACTTTATTCTTGAAATAATCTTACGAAGTAGGGAAACTAAGGATCAGGGAAGGCAAGCCATTTGCCCAAGGTCACACAGCCAGAGCCTGTGTGTTGCTAGCCACCTTCTCCTGCCTTCCACATCTTTGGACTGGGACTGAGAGTTACATGGAGGCAGAGTTTCGTTCATACCCATATCCTAAAAGGGTCCATTCATGGCCAGGTAGACACAGAACTAATGTACCCACACAATTATTCAAAAAATTAACTACCAAGTATACATGTGTGCCCTCTTGCAAATGTGCACATTCATTCACATGCAGATCTCTTTCTGGGCCTGAGGAGCCCAGGAGCAGGAGGCCCCACCCCAAACAAGCGCCTGCTCGCAGCTTCCTGGAACAGTCTGTGGCTAGGCCAGCAAGCTTAGACTCGACCAGAGACCCGTGGCTTCCTGCTTTGTTGGGGCACAGGCTGGACCTTCTCCAGAGGCTTCAGCAGACCCCGCCCTCACCCCAGGCTTTGATTCTGCCTTGGCGTTAAAACTAGTAACTAATGTGTCTTGACTTTTGTCTATATACCAGGCACTGTGCTGAGTACATTAACATGCATGATCTTATGTAGTCTCCATAAAACCCTGTGAATATGAATGCAATACTCTTAATAGCCCTCTCTTACAGATGAAAAAACGGAGGTTCAGGGACATTGAGTAACTTAAGGTTAAACAGGTAGCAAGCGGTGGAACTGTGACTTGAACTCTAACAGTCAGATTCGTAAGTGACCACAGCTCTTTCCAGAAGCACAGTCGGGAGGAAAGAACCTGGTTCTAATTCTCACCCTGTGGCTTTGGGCAAGTCTCTTTCTTTCTTTGGGACTTCATTTTCCAGCTTCCAAAAGGAGGGAATGATCATGAAAGTCTCTTTGAGCATTCATTCTGTCACTGCTTTTCCTAAGCCTGGATTCTTCCATTTTTCAACAGTATTGACTGAGCCTGGTTCTATACCAGACACTGTTCTAGGCACTAGGGAATTCATCTGTGAATAAGATACACAGAGCTCCTCTCTTCGTGGAGTCCAGTGTCAAGTGAGAAGACGGTTATTAAACAAATAAACAAGAAAATACTGGGTAGTGATATGTGTCATGAAGAAAATAGGGCAAAGTGATAAAGAGGGTAATTGGCAGGAAGGCTACTCCAAACGGGGGCTCAGGAAGTGACATTTAAGCTGAAAGCTGGATGACAAGAAGGAACTATCCATGTGAGAATCTTAAGAGAGACAGTAAATGCAAAGGCCCTGAGGCAGGTCCCAGTTTTGTGTGGCTGCAGCTTGTGAACTGGAGAAGCAGCATGGGCCCAGATGGTGCAGGGGCCTTCCAGTCCTGGGTAAGGAGTTTCTATTTTAATCTAAGTGCTAGGAGAAGCCACTGGAAAATTTTAAGCAGGTAAGTCGTATGAATTGATGTATGTTTACACAAGATGTTTTAAAATAGTCCCTGGGTGTCGTGAGCTGGGGGTGGGGTAATGCAAGGAGCCCAACATGTCTCTGTGCCCTGCAAGCCTGTTCACCCATCTGGACCTGGGGCCAGGAAACAGCTGCCACAGACACTGTTCCCTCCCTCAGCAAACTACTCCCCAGGTGTGCAGGTCCTACAGCCTAGGCAGGCCATGGGGACCAAACTGCCATCCAAGGGTGCATTCTCTCTGCATTTTAGCCTCCTCCAGGGAGACCCCTCCCCTTCCCCTTCCCTACAGCTCATCTTAACGGCGCCTGCGCTGCTGCTGCTGCGAGGCGCCTGTGAAGCCACTTAGCAGAGTATCTTGCTGGGGCCTGCCCAACACGGTGCTGATCCGGTGAACAGGAAGCTCTCCACACAGCAGGGCAGGCAGGGCTGGGAGACTGCGTGCACCCTGGGCTCGCAGAGCTGTGGAGCCAGTGGACCTGGGACCGGGGTGAGGACTCTTTCCCTTGGGGTTTCAACTTCAAAAGCAATGCCATTCTGCAGGGGTTGAGAGCCGAGAGACTCAGGGTCCCCTTCTGCTTGTGGTGGCTGGGTCAGGGGTAGGGTGACTGTGGCTTTTGCCTGGGGCTGGCCCCATGGTGGGCTTAAGCATGGGGGGACAGTAGGGGCAGGCAGGGTGGGAAATGTACAGCAGCTCTTTCTGCCACTAGCTTTCGGACCTTGAGTGAAGAATCTGCCTCCTTCCTGCCCTCTCCTTTCTGAGATGCATGGGCTTAGGGCACCACCAACAGAATCTCAAGAGTCGGGAGGCAGGTGGTAGGGAAGCTGGAAGGGTGGGACATGCTGAAATTATTCTCTGTCACAGGCCTTCAGACCCCGAGTTAGACAGACTTTTCTATTCCTGCCTCCATCTGGAGATGCTGTCAGCAGGATCTTGGGGAACCCCGTGTCCAGTTCACGCAGGACTCTGGGAAGACAGGGCTCCAAGCCTCTCCTTCCCCGCTTGCCTTGGAAGTTTAACTCTTCCTTGCCTTTGAAGAGCATGGCAACTGGAAAATCAAGTCTGGCCAGTTTCATCCAGGAATGCTCCAGCACATCTGGCTGGCAGCCACGAAGCTCCTAGAAATCAAGGCTTCCAGGGACAGGTCAGGCATCAGCCCTGTGCACTAGCCTTACACGTGGCCCTGCCAAACCCTGCCCCGCTCCCCCTGCCCCTTGCCCCATCTGGTCCTGATGAGTCTCACATTTTCACACAGGCTGGAGTTCAGGGATGGGCTCTGTGGGAAACAGCAAGGGTCTAAGTGAGGCAAAGCATTTATTTATGATTAATTCAACAAGAACTAACTCCCAGGGACTAGTTCTTACCTGGCCACACACTGTGTGACTTGGAGCCTGACCGATCTCGACTTTGGGGCTCTATTTCCCCATCTATGATGGAAAACAGGGACAGAACCCCATCATCTCTAGTGTCCATTTCAATTCAGACATTCCAGAAGCCAGGGAGTTTTCGTGCTCCAGGTTACAAGATGAGTCAGAATCATGCCCGGTCTATAAGGGACATGTGGTGAAACAGGTACAGATAGGGGCAGAGAGGCAGCCTGGTCTGTGCAAGGAGCTCCCACTAGCTATAAGGCCCTGGGCAGCTCCCTTCTTTTTATGAACCTTAGTTTTCTAGTATCAATAATGGCTGATATTAAGTTAGAACTGACAATAAACCAGGCACCCAATAAGTCATTTACCTTTATTATTTCACTTAATTTTCACAGCAATCCTACAAGATTGATAATTTTCTTGGCCTTATTCTACAGAAGGTGAAATGAAGTTTCACCGAGGTTAAATAACTTGCTGTAAAAGTCACCCACCTAGCAAATGATGGAGGCAGGGCTGAGAGCCAGGCAGCCTGATGCCAGGCCTGGGATCTTGGTCCCTTTGCTTTTCTGCAGCCTCTGCATGTGGGGAAATAGCTCAGTTTGGCTAGATCTCAGCCCTAACGGAAGGGCCTTGTAGGATGGAGAGAGAGAAGAATAGTTTAGAACAAGATTGCTAAACTTGGTTCCTGGCTAAGAGCTTGGACCATCTCACCATCATCCAAGGAGCCACAGAAAGTTTTTGGGAAAAAGAGTAAGAGTTCAGGCCTCTGTTCTAGCTGCTGAGTGCCTTTGAGGGTGCATTCTGACTAGTCTGTTATTTTTCAGCCACGGGGTTTCTCAACCATGGCACTATTGGCACTGGGGCTGGGTAATTCTGTTGCAGGGCTGATACGGTTTGGCTGTGTTCCTACCCAAAGCTCATCTTGAATTGTAGCTCCCATAATCCCCCTGTATCATGGGAGGGATCCAGTGGAAGGTAATTGAATCATGGGGGCGGGTTGTTCTTGTGCTGTTCTCTTGAAAGTGAATAAGGCTCAAGAGAGCTGATGGTTTTATAAAGGGGAGTTCCCTGTACATGCGCTCTTGCCTGCTGCCATGTAAGACGTGCCTTTGCTTTTCTTTTGCTTTCTGCCATGATTGTGGGGCCTCTCCAGTCATGTGGAACTATGAGTCCATTAAACCTCTTTTCTTTACAAATTACCCAGTCTCAGCTATGTCTTTATTCTCAGTGTGAGAACTGACTAATACAAAGGCACCGTCCTACGCATTGTAGGATATTTAGCAGCGTCCCCGGCCTCTACCTGCCAGATCCTATTAGCATCACCACTCCCAAGCTGGGACAGCCAAAAATACCTTCAGACATTGCCAAGTGTCCCTTCAGGGTCAAAATCAGCTCCAGTTAAGAACCGCAGCAGTAGAAACCATTTTTTTTTCGCCTAACTTGCACTCTGTCTTTCTTTTTCTGCCCAGGGTTTCGGGAGTTTTCCACCATGACTATTGCCCTGCTGGGTTTTGCCATATTCTTGTTCCATTGTGCAACCTGTGAGAAGCCTCTAGACGGGATTCTCTCCTCCTCTGCTTGGCACTTCACACACTCCCATTACAATGCCACCATCTATGAAAACTCTTCTCCCAAGACCTATGTGGAGAGCTTGGAGAAAATGGGCATCTACCTCGCAGAGCCACAGTGGGCAGTGAGGTACCGGATCATCTCTGGGGATGTGGCCAATGTATTTAAAACTGAGGAGTATGTGGTGGGCAACTTCTGCTTCCTGAGAATAAGGACAAAGAGCAGCAACACAGCTCTTCTGAACAGAGAAGTGCGAGACAGCTACACCCTCATCATCCAAGCCACAGAGAAGACCTTGGAGTTGGAAGCTTTGACCCGCGTGGTGGTCCACATCCTGGACCAGAACGACCTGAAGCCACTCTTCTCCCCACCTTCGTACAGAGTCACCATCTCTGAGGACACGCCCCTGAAGAGCCCCATCTGCAAGGTGACTGCCACAGATGCTGATCTAGGCCAGAATGCTGAGTTCTATTATAACTTTAACACGAGGTCAGAGATGTTTGCCATCCACCCCACCAGTGGCGTGGTCACTGTGGCTGGGAAGCTTAACGTCACCTGGCGAGGGAAGCACGAGCTCCAGGTGCTGGCTGTGGACCGCATGCGGAAAATCTCTGAGGGCAACGGGTTTGGCAGCCTGGCTGCACTCGTCGTTCATGTGGAGCCTGCCCTCAGGAAGCCCCCAGCCATTGCTTCGGTGGTGGTGGCTCCACCAGATAGCAATGATGATACCACCTATGCCACTGTACTGGTCGATGCAAACAGCTCAGGAGCTGAAGTGGAGTCAGTGGAAGTTGTTGGTGGTGACCCTGGGAAGCACTTCAAAGCCATCAAGTCTTACGCCCGGAGCAATGAGTTCAGTTTGGTGTCTGTCAAAGACATCAACTGGATGGAATACCTTCACGGGTTTAACCTCAGTCTCCAGGCCAGGAGTGGGAGTGGCCCTTATTTTTATTCCCAGATCAGGGGCTTTCACCTACCACCTTCCAAACTGGCTTCCCTCAAATTCGAGAAGGCTGTTTACAGAGTGCAGCTTAGTGAATTTTCCCCTCCCGGCAGCCGTGTGGTGATGGTGAGAGTCACTCCAGCCTTCCCCAACCTGCAGTATGTCCTAAAGCCATCTTCAGAGAATTTAGGATTTAAACTTAATGCTCGAACAGGGTTGATCACCACCACGAAGCTCATGGACTTCCACGACAGAGCCCACTATCAGCTACACATCAGAACCTCACCAGGCCAGGCCTCCACCGTGGTGGTCATTGACATTGTGGACTGCAACAACCATGCCCCCGTCTTCAACAGGTCTTCCTATGATGGCACCTTGGATGAGAACATCCCTCCAGGCACCAGTGTGTTGGCTGTGACTGCCACTGACCAGGATCATAGGGAGAACGGCTATGTCACCTATTCCATTGCGGGACCAAAAGCTTTGCCATTTTCTATCGACCCTTATCTGGGGATCATCTCCACCTCCAAACCCATGGACTATGAACTCATGAAAAGAATTTATACCTTCCGGGTACGAGCATCAGACTGGGGATCCCCTTTTCGCCGGGAGAAAGAAGTGTCCATTTTTCTTCAGCTCAGGAACTTGAATGACAACCAGCCTATGTTTGAAGAGGTCAACTGCACTGGGTCTATCTGCCAAGACTGGCCAGTAGGGAAATCAATAATGACTATGTCGGCCATAGATGTGGATGAGCTTCAGAACCTAAAATATGAGATTGTATCAGGCAATGAACTAGAGTATTTTGATCTAAATCATTTCTCCGGAGTGATATCCCTCAAACGCTCTTTTATGAATCTTACTGCTGGTCAACCCGCCAGCTATTCCCTGCAAATTACAGCCTCAGATGGCAAACACTATGCCTCACCCACAACGTTGAATATTACTGTGGTGAAGGACCCTCATTTTGAAGTTCCTATAACATGTGATAAAACAGGGGTATTGACACAATTCACAAAGACTATCCTCCACTCTATTGGGCTTCAGAACCAGGAGTCCGGTGATGAGGAATTCACTTCTTTAAGCACATATCAGATTAATCATTACACCCCCCAGTTTGAAGACCACTTCCCCCAATCCATTGATGTCCTTGAGAGTGTTCCTGTCAACACCTCCTTGGCCCGCCTAGCAGCCACTGACCCTGATGCTGATTTTAATGGCAAACTGGTCTATGTGATTGCAGATGGCAATGAGGAGGGCTGCTTTGACATAGAGCTGGAGACAGGGCTACTCACTATAGCTGCTCCCTTGGACTACGAAACCACCAATTTCTATATTCTCAATGTAACAGTATATGACCTGGGCACTCCCCAGAAGTCCTCCTGGAAGCTGCTGACAGTGAATGTGAAAGACTGGAATGACAACGCACCCAGATTTCCTCCTGGTGGGTACCAGTTAAGCATCTCGGAAGACACAGAAGTTGGAACCACAATTGCAGAGCTGACAACCAAAGATGCTGACTCAGAAGACAATGGGAGGGTTCGCTACGCCCTGCTAAGCCCCACAGAGAAGTTCTCCCTCCACCCTCTCACTGGGGAACTGGTCGTTACAGGACACCTGGACCGCGAATCAGAACCTCAGTACATACTCAAAGTGGAGGCCAGGGATCAGCCCAGAAAAGGCCACCAGCTCTTCTCTGTCACTGACCTGATAGTCACATTGGAGGATGTCAATGACAACTCTCCCCAGTGCATCACAGAACTCAAAAGGCTGAAGGTCCCAGAGGACCTGCCCCCTGGGACTGTCTTGACATTTCTGGATGCCTCTGATCCTGACCTGGGCCCTGCAGGTGAAGTGAGATATGTTCTGATGGATGATGCCCATGGGACCTTCCGGGTGGACCTGACAACAGGGGCGCTCAGTCTGGAGAGAGAGCTGGACTTTGAGAGACGAGCTGGGTACAATCTGAGCCTGTGGGCCAGTGATAGTGGGAGGCCCCTGGCCCGCAGGACCCTCTGCCATGTGGAGGTGATCGTTCTGGATGTGAATGAGAATCTCTACCCTCCCCACTTTGCCTCCTTCGTGCACCAGGGCCAGGTGCAGGAGAACAGCCCCTCGGGAACTCAGGTGATGGTAGTGGCTGCCCACGACGATGACAGTGGCTTGGATGGGGAGCTCCAGTACTTCCTGCGTGCTGGCACTGGGCTAGCAGCCTTCAGCATCAACCAAGACACAGGTACTGGGAGTGGGGTAGGATGGGGCGCCAGGGCCGGGGGTAGATGGGCTGAAGGAAAAAGAAGTCAGGCTGCAGGCTGAAATGAAAGGCAATAAATAGGGATTATTTTTCCTGTGTATTTTATTTTAAATTAATTTTTACTGGAAATATATATTTCTATATATGTGCATATAGACATACACATATATGCACATATATTACATATTCTGTATATTAAAGTGATACATCCGATTATAAATTTTTTATATAAAATTTAACATGAGTTCTCCCCCGTGTTCTTTCTCCCCAGATATAATCTTTATTAACAGTTTGGCTTATTATCTTCTAAAGTTTCTTTCTTTTTATCTTATATGTGATATTTTATTTTATTGTTATGAAAATATAATAGATACTATTATAAAATTTACTTTTTTCACATCATATAACATCAAGACATTTTATTTGTTAGTTCATTTGTTTTTATTGAAATCATATTATTCTACCATATAGGCATAATATTCTTATTTATATACTTTTACTTATATGCATGAGTCTCTACAGGAAAAAATTCTTTTTTTTTGAGACAAAGTTTTACTCTGTCGCCCAGGCTGGAGTGAAATGGTGCAATCTTGGCTCACTGCAACCTCTGCCCCCCACCCACCCCGAGTTCAAGCGATTCTCCTGCCTCAGGCTCCCAAGTAGCTGGGATTACAGGCGCCCACCACCATGCCCGGCTAACTTTTGTATTTTTAGTAGAGATGGGGTTTCTCCATGTTGGCCAGGCTGGTCTCAACCTCCTGACCTCAGGTGATCCACCCAACTTGGCCTCCCAAAGTGCTAAGATTACAGGTTTGAGCCATCACGTCCAGTCAAAAAATTCTTAAAAATGAAGTTTCTAGGTCAGAGGATAATGTACATTTTCTGTGTTAATAACTAATTCCAAAATTGCTCTTCAAAAAGGTGACACAACCACCTTCCTTTTTTTAAGTTTCAAGGAAAATAAGTGCAAGTCAGGACTTTTTGAGTGCTCACTACTGTTAAGGCCCTATCTAGGTACTGGGGGAGATTGAAAGTAAAGGAAGATCACTGCTTTCAAGGAGTTTGAAATTTGGTGGGTCATTTATTTCCACCAAACCAAGTTGTAATAACTTGTTCTCAGTGTTGGCTTTCAACAACCTTTGTCTCTTAATCTAATTAAGCTGTTTATTTAGAAAGAGCATTAGATTAAGGGTCAGTCCCAGACCTAGTTCTTCCACATACTTGCTACATAATCTTGGTCAAGTCGTGCTACCTCTCTGAGCCTCAGTTTCCCCAGCTGTCATCTCTGTCATGCTGTGGCTGTGAGCATGGACCACATCCTCTCACACAGGCCCTGCCAGTGCAGTGTGATCCATGAGAGCTTGGGGTGTAAGCTTCTTTTGCACATTCTTGGACCCTCGACTTCTAGAACAGTGCTAGCCCATAGCAAGCAATTGGTGGAGGAAACGAACGAAAGAATGAAGCTCAGCCCCTTAAAATCATGAAAATGGTGGAGAAAAGAACAGCAGTTTATTCATCAAATCCCCAACCCTGAAACTGATAATCTACCAGGACATAAAGGGTGAAGGAAACAGTTCAAGGACAACTATAAGAAAACCTCACTTGCAGAATGTGAAATAAATCAATGGAGCTTGGTTAAGTAGTCAAGAGAAGGTAGATAAACTACTACTGTCTTCTGAAAACCCTACATATGCCCACCTGCTAAAGGCATGGACCGATTTTAGCAGAGGAAGGCTCTGAGAGGTTCTAGGATAAGGATGTTAATTCCCCTGTGTTCAACTCGGCATCTCCCACATTATACGGTAGAAGCAGTTCCTTCTTTTCACAGAAAACCGACTTATTAATATCCTCTCCACTGTGCAGTTTGTGGAATGGTGGGTAAGGGCGATTTCTAAAGCCACTTTGAGCTCTAAAGTATTTTGGGTTTGCTGACTTACTGTCTCTAGGAATGATTCAGACTCTGGCACCCCTGGACCGAGAATTTGCGCCTTACTACTGGTTGACGGTACTAGCAGTGGACAGGGGTTCTGTGCCCCTCTCTTCTGTAACTGAAGTTTACATTGAGGTTACGGATGCCAATGACAACCCACCCCAGATGTCCCGAGCTGTGTTTTACCCCTCCATCCAGGAGGATGCTCCCGTGGGCACCTCTGTGCTTCAACTGGATGCCTCGGACCCAGACTCTAGCTCCAAAGGGAAACTGTCTTTCAACATTACCAGCGGGAACCACATGGGATTCTTTAATATTCACCCTGTTACAGGTAAGGATCCAAAAAAACTGGGTGAACAGGGATCTCTACAATGGGGGTTCTCAAATTGTGGGCCCCAATCAGCACCATCAGCATTACCATGAACTTGGAAATTCAAATTCTCCAATCCCACCTTAGACCCACTGAATCAAAATTTCGAGGGTGAGGCTCAGCAATCTGTGTTTTCACAAGGCATGCAGGGGATTCTGATGTGTTTAAAATGTGTGCTGACATTTGGCAACGCTGTTCTACAAAGTCCATCTCTGGGAAAATGAAAAGGACCTGTCATCATGTTTCCTTCCCTGGGGCCCAAGGAAGCAGGTTGCCCATTGGTCAAGCTGGGACTAGTTCAGACCTCCAAGAGGTCCCAACCTGACTCCTGAGTCACAAGCCACAGGTTAAATTCCTTAACCCTAGTTCCAGACTGATCTCAACCCTGCCCAGAGTGGTGGCAATGTGAATCCACTTATGTTGTCAACTATCTCAGTAGCACCTGCCCAAAGCCTTCTGGGACAAGGATGGTGGGTGGTTGGGAGAAATCCAGAGGTCAGCTGGCAGCAGTGAGTCAGATGTTTCCCATAGAGGTGTTTTGTTTGATTTGCTTAAGCTTCAAACAATTAATTTTTCAAGTTGGCAACCAACACTTGAAACTTGGAAAATTCCACAAAACAGTTCAGACTTCTGGTTGTTTTTTTAAAATGGAAGGATCGGGCCACACTGTCTTCATAGTCCCGCTGGGCCACAATGGACAGGAACTGACAGCAGCTCCCTTTGTAGACCTGGCACAGGTGCTCTGGTCCATGCAGTTCCTACCATCCGCTTTGTGTTATTCCTCGCCTGCGTCCCTCATTGACGCCACCTGCTGGCTTTCCTTGGTGCTGCAATGTGTGAGCCCTGTCCCACTACTGCAGAGGCTTCTTAAAAGCCGCATCTTCCTCTTTGGGGATGAACAACAATCCTATTGTAGAGAAGGCTAACATTTTCCCCATGGAACCCAACATCCTTTTTCCCATCTCAAGCAATTTACTCTTGTCCGAGAAGGATGGAACCTGGTGCGACTGGAGGAAGGGAAGAATGCAAGCAGGCAATTCCTTGATTCTTAAGACAAAAGGGAGCCAGGAGGGGGTTAAGGTTGGGAGTCCTGGTGCAGAGGGGCGGGTGAGATATAAGTTCCTATTTGCCTGCTAACATTTGTTGCCAACCTTTCCTGTTAACCTTTGACCTCGTGGTGTGGAGTAGTTCTAGGAGGAGGATGCTTTTCTCCTGGAAAACAGGCTGAAGCTGCCTTTCTACCTGGGCCCACCCTGTCCCTCTCTCTTCAGAAGTGGGAATAGATCTCTCACCTAAGGCATTAACTTTTCAGCTTCTTCCAAATCCTTGTTCTGTTTACTATCAACGGTTCACTGACAGTAGGTCTGGCAGGATGCCCTAGTGGGCAGAGACATTCTTAGCCTTTCTGCAGTTGAAGGGAAGGAATCTTTATTAGCATGAACATTTTCTAAAGTAGAACTAATTACCAATGCACCCCTGTCTACCTTTCTCATCACCACTTTTACTTTGTTCCACTTCCCTACTTGGATGCCTTGGATGGTTTCCCTGTACCCTTAAGATAAAGTCAGTAAGCCAGGCACAGTGGTTCATGCCTGTAATCCCAGCACTTGGGGAGGCTGAGGCAGGAGGATCACTTGAGCCCAGGAGTTCGGAGCTGCCTGGGTGACATGGCAAGACCTCATCTCTACAAAACATAAAAAATTAGCCTGGCGTGATGGTGTGTACCTGAAGTCCCAGCTACTCAGGAGGCTGAGGTAGCAAGATGGCTTGTGCCTGGGAGGTCGAGGCTGCAGTGAGTCATGATCACACCACTGTTCTCCAGCCTGGGTGACAGAACAAGACCCAGTCTCAAAAAAAAAAAAAAAAAAAGATAAAGTCAGATCCTGCTGTGCTGTGTCCTGCCAACCCGTGCCTGGTCTACCCTTGCTGACCTCTGGCCTCATCTTGCCCCTCTCCTGCTGCCCCTCCCCATGTTCCAGCCACATGGCCTGCCTCAGTTGGGGACCCTTCCATGCAGGACTTTGCATGTGCTGTTCTCTCTAGCAGGTGACTCTTCTCTCCTTTTGTCTGGTTAACTCCCGCTTTTCTTTCAGATTTAAGCCCAGCTGTTCTTTCCTTAGAGAAGCTTTTCCTGATACCCTAACACACTTTCCAGCACCACCTACTCCTTTTTGTGACACTTATCATGCAGGACGTTATATTCACTTGTGTGATTATGCCACTAATCATCCGTGTCTTTCACTAGACTTCAGAGCTTCCTGAGAAAAGGGACCCTAACTGTTGGTGCCCACCAGAATTTCTTCAGTACCTGTCACACAGTAGGAGCTCAACAAATAATTGCCAAATTGATGAATGAATCTCTGCCAGCATCCACAATGTTTTGTTAAGCCGAAGATTCATTCACATACTCAGCAAATGTTTAAAGGTGTCTGCCCTTGCCAAGCTTCTAAACAATATGCTGTGGAGTTATATGAAGATAATAAAACACAGCTTCAGGTCTTGAGAAATTCGGTCCATCAGAAGCATGAAGATTTGAATATAAACACGATAGAACAAGTTTGAAAGAGCATAATATTATAAAATATGTGTAGATGCAGGGCCCTGGCCACTCAGAAAAAAGAGGAAGCTGCTCTGTGTGGTGGATCTGCAAGGGCTTCCTGGAACAGGGGTAGTTATGCTGAGCTGAGGGGTGGGAGGATTTTGAGAGACAGCAGTCCGGGAGAGCACATGGGCTAGGATGATGACACAGGTGCCATCTGGGAGGGAGGAAGACCCTGATCTTGTTGAAGACAATGCAGGTAGATGGACTTTTATCTCAGTTCCACCACTCATTAATAAGTCACTTGGGAAAATGACTTATCTGCTCTATGCTTGAGTTTTCTCACCAGTGAAATGGAGATTATAATAGAGACCACCTGAGCTGTTGTGAGGACTTGATGAGTTAATATATGGAGATGTAGAAAGAGCTTAGCTGAACGCTTGTGCATGCAAGAGCTCCATGCGGGTTGGCTCTTTGATGCTGCAGGAGGGAAGAAGAGGAAGATGAAGGTGGAAATGGGGCAAGACCTAGATGGCGGTGACTCAGGATAAGACGAGTTAAAGATCAGGAATCTGTCAGAGGTGGAGTCAACAACAGTTGGAAAACTGTTGGATGAGAAAAGATAAAGGGTCAAATATGGGTCTGAGATAGGGTGTTGGGGAAGCATTTGTTTGGAGGAGAAAAATGGCAAGAGTGAATGAAGTCTACTGAGTGCCGCCTCATCCAGGAAGGGCGAGGGTTTTCTATGCACCTTAGTGAATGTGCACACAGCCCTATGGAGGTGGATCTGCAATGTCCCCATTCTATTCAGGCGCTTCCTGGGAACCCCGACACCAACTTCAGAGAGGAGGATGAGGATGAGAATAGGGGCCACTGTGCAAGAAGCCACAGGGCATTGATTCCAGAGGCATAGGACTTTAGAAGGTCGGGGAAGGCAGTGATGAGAAGCAGAAGGAGAAAAGAAAACCCAATAGGATAGGGGAGAGAAGGGGGTGGAGAGAGAGGGAGGGAGGGAGAGAGAGAGAGAGAGAGAGATTCAGAGACACAAACGGAGAAGGGAGAGAGGAAGAGCTGGAAGGCAAGAGAGGAGGAGGACAGTGAAGGAGAGACATAGAAAAGAACAGAGCAAAGGGAGAGGAAAGAAGGGCAGGGAGGAAAGGAAGGGACGGAGCCAGATGGAAGGCTTACCTGCCAAGACCCCCTAGTCCTTGTGCTCTTCCTGGGGGACCCCGGGCCCTAGGCCCTTCCCCATGAGGCCCCTCAGCTTGGGGCCGAGCTGGGACAATATCCACACCCTCCCATTGCACAGGAGTGTGTTTTTCCTTCCTCTCGTCCTCCTCCTTTGACTGGAAGGGCGCCTGAGTGTGGAGATTTTCAGAAGCCTTCTCAATCTCTCCCATGCCAACCTGCAGTTAGGGAAGAAAAAGCTGGAATGACTTGTGTTCAACTGCCACAAGGCAAGAACATGCCTCCAGCCTAGCCCACATCCTCACACCACACTCCCATTGCCATGACTCGAGTCTCTGGAGCAGCACGGAATCCTTGTTCCCCTCCCTGAGCTCCAAGCTCTGTCACTGAGCCCCCCCAGGAAACCTCTGGGCTCTTCACTGAGCTTCTTTTTCTACACTTAATTCCATGATCTCAATCACTTCGTCACCTAAACAAGATCAAGAAACTTGTGAAAGTGTTCAGATGGTCCATTGACCTCTACCAATAGCTCTGCTTTCATTTATGAGAACTTCCACAGCAGCCATGGCTTGGGATGACCTTCTGGGTCCCTAAAAACCACGACCTCAACTTCCCTGAATCTTATAGAGCTAGGAACTTCTCTGCCCAACTTCTTCAATTACTGAGAGGGGCCCAGAGGAGCCCTTCTCTGAATAGAGAAGGGCTGCCCCAGTCTGTCATGGGAAGAGCCAGTACCAGGACCCTGGTGAATAACAATACTAATAAATGGGAAAAATGCTACCACTTTATGGTTTCTCTGAAACTGAAGGCAATAGTTGTTATTTCTGTTCTAGCTCCTGACAAACTGCCTTGGTTGTTGTTGTTGTTGATGGAGTCTCGCTCTGTCACCCAGGCTATAGTGCAGCGGCATGATCTCGGCTCACTGCAACCTCCACCTCCTAGATTCAAGCAATTCTCCTGTCTCAGCCTCCTGAGTAGCTGGGACTACAGACACCCGCCCTGACGCCTGGCTAATATTTTTGTATTTTTAGTAAAGACGGGGTTTCACCATATTGGTCAGGCTGGTCTTGAACTCCTGACCTCAGGTGATCCACTCACCTTGGCCTCCTCAAGTGCTGGGATAACAGGCGTGAGCCACTGCACCTGGATGACAAACTGCCTTTTTTACTCAATATATTGTGTGTAGCATTTCCCTGACTACAACATGTGTTTTGAATAGTTGCTTAAGATTCCTTTTTATGTAAAATGTATACAACTCTTCCCTTATATGGATTGTGTCCAATTATTTGCTTTTTAAAACATGGCTATGGTGAACATCTTATATAATCACCTACTCAGATATATGCACTGACTTCTTTAGAATAAATCCCTTCAAGTGGGGTGAGAAGTTCACAATTTAAGCTAAAAAGACATTAATGATCACCCAATTCAACTCCTCCTTTTGTAGAGGAGGTTGGGGTTGAATAGGTGGAGAAATAAGCAGGAGCTTTCTGGAGTCAATACGAGGCGCAGAGGGAGTTAGTCGGTTCCCTGGAAGGAAGCTGAGGCTGGAGCTGGGGTTTGGCAGAGCCATAGGAGGGGAAGAGAGAGGCTGAGTCAGGGGGCAGTATCCTTCCTGGAGGCCTCCCAATCCCAAAGACCCTGATTGCTTCCCCAGACCCACCATGACCCTAACCCACTCCCGTCCCAACATATGAATTCTCAGAATTAAATTGGCTGTTAGGACTTTTTCGGATGTAAAGACAGAAACCCAAGGCAGGTTGGCTGAGTCAATAAAAGACATTTGTTTTCTTACTTTACAGAGAATTTCAGACATAGTATGGCTGCAAGCACAGCTGTAGTCAGTGTTCGAAGACTTAATGAAGGCTCTGCCTCCACCCATCTCTTGGCCTCTTTTCTCTGAGTGGCTCTATCCCAGGAGTCCCTCCTCTTGTTGCTGTCAGGTTTCTTCCTGTCCTCTCAGCATACCAGCAGTGAAAAAGTCTGTTTCTAGAGCTCTTGCAAAAGTCCCAGAATTGATTCTCACCAGACAGACTGGTCTATTACAGAGCCAGGTGCGAGGGCCAGGGGGCTAGTCCGTGCTGACTGACTATGCTTGGGCTATAAACTTCTCCTCAGGTGGGTCAGCCTCACCCCAGATGACAAAGGACTAAAATTAGGAATGGCGTGGTTCCCCCTCAGGAGAACTGGGGTTCGTTTTTTGAAAGAAGAGGGAATGAATGATGAGCAGAAGACATCCAGATGCAAACATGTTCCATAGATTTTAGTGACAAGGAACCAAAACTGCATCACAGCAGTGCTGACGTTGACCCTTGTGCACCAGTAACCCTGCTGGTTGCTTCCAGTGGGCAACCATCCTGACCGGGGAGGCTGCCCGTGGTGGGCTGATTGCTGAAGTCTTGCTGTATCACCCCTGCCTAATAGTGAGAGCAGGAAGTAGCTGAAAACTTCACTTGACACACTGTCTCTGCCGTTCTCTCCCACCTTCTCACTTCCCCCTCCTTTTCTCCCTACCTTCATTTCCCCTTAGTGTTCTGTTTCTTCTCAGCCTACAGAGAAGTCATATTCCAATAGATCCATGATAAGTTGAAAATATTGTCAGTCAAAACTGTGTTTAAACACCGAACCTACAGAACATAATAGCTTAGCCTTGCCTACCTTATATGTTCTCAGAACACTTGCATTAGCCTACAGAGAAGCAAAATCATCTAACAGAAAGCCTATTTTATAATAAAGTATTAAATATTTCAATATGTCAGTATTTTTACTCCTTCAGTATTTGTACTCAATACCTCAGTATTTGAATATCGAAGTGAAGGTAAAAAACAGAAATGTATGGGTACTTGAAGTAAGGTTTGTACTGAATGTGTATCACTTTCACACAATGATAAAGCAGGAAATTTTGAGTTGAACTATCCTAAGTCAGGGATGGTCTTTACTTGTTCTTCAAAGATCAAAAGAATTTTTATCTGAGATTTGAATGTAATTCTTGAACTTGCCCCAGTAAAGTGTCCCTGAAGCCTTTTGCTCATGTCTCTCCCCTACCATCCCTCTCCCAGGTCTCCTATCTACAGCCCGGCAGCTGGACAGAGAGAACAAGGATGAACACATCCTGGAGGTAAGTAATGGTGGTGAATCCATCCACTGGGTTTGAATGCCTCCTACAGAAGGTGATTTATGGAGCCACGTTAGGCCTTGGAGCCACGTGCATGTCTAGCACTATGGCTGAGGAGGGTCTGGGCTCAGGGAGGAGGATATACGTGAGCTGGACCTTGCTGAATGATCCTTGGATCTTCGCTAGTTCCTCAGTGCTGAGAAGGAAAGGAGTCTGAAACTGTGTCCAGGCTGGGCAGGGACCATTGACTGATTAGTAATGCCTGCAGGGAGTGAAGGAGAAAGGGGAGCAGGACACATGCTCTGTGTACTTACTGAGTTTGGTCCATCCCTCCCGACCCAGGGAGACAGAATCATTCAAGGTCAAATGCTAGGTCAGTAGCAGAGCCAGGATGAAAACCAGACCTGTGCCTTCTAGATCTATGCTCTTTCTAGGATGCCTCTAAAATCACATAGGCATTCCTGGTGCCTGTTCCAATGAAAGGCTTTGGTTAGTGACCTAGAGGGAGTTAAATCAGAAGAGAATAATATCAGGTGGAAATCTAACTATTTTCCTCCTGAGCTGTCCTTCACTGATGATCTCTTGTAGTTTTAAAGGCATAAGGAGGGAGGAATACATATTCCTCAGCAGGAAGTAAATTTTGCCTTTGATACTTCCAGGATCTGCACATTCTTTTTCCTTTGGTAAGAAACAGGTATGATTTGCCAGGTGTGGTGGCTCACGCCTGTAATTCCAGCACTTTGGGAGGCTGAGGCAAGCAGATCACTTAAGGTCAGGAGTTTGAGACTAGCCTGGCCAACATGATGAAATCCTGTCTCTACTAAAAATACAAAAATTAGCCAGGCGTGGTGGCATGTGCTTGAAATCCCAGCTACCCGGGAGGCTGAGGCAGGAGAATCGCTTGAACTGGGGAGGCAGAGGTTGCAGTGAGCCGAGATTGTGCCACTGCACTCAAGCCTGGGTGACAGAGCTAGACTCAGTGAAAGAAAAAAAGAAAGAAAAAAAGGAAGAAAGGAAGGAAGGAAAGGAAAAAAGGAAGGGAAAGGAAGGAAGGGAGGGAGGGAGGAAGGGAGGGAGGGAGGCAGGGAGGGAAGGAAGGAAGGAAGGAAGGAAGGAAGGAAGGAAGGAAGGAAGGAAAGAAGGAAGGAAAGAGGTATTATTAGTAAGCAGTTGCCAAATGGCCTTCTAGAATTCCTAGGGACTGAAAGCATTCTCCACCGTTCAATAACAGATATTTACCTCTAAACACCAAATGTTTTTAAAATTCTGAGCCATTTCAGGTGGAAATCATCACATCATCTGATGTGATGCCCTTGCAGCTATTGGTGCATGTGATTATTTGCCCCTGCATTAAATAGCTATTGGTTCTGAAATGGTTTTGGGGCCTTTCCTCACTCTGGATTTCATTGCATGCATCAGACCATGTGTCTGACTCAAAAAGTACCACTCATTCCCTCATAAACACCTTCTCATTTGTTTTCTCTAATCTTGAGCAGCTTAAGGAAGCCAGAGAACTAAGATTAGAAACACAAGCAAATAACAAGTAGGTAGTCTCTGAGAAATGGCCCGTGGGTTGTCCCACATAAAGAACACCAGCTTTTGTCTAGAGACTCTGACTCTGTCTTCTTCCAGTTCTTCCTATTTCCTTTCACTGTTTTCACTGGCTTTCCCATGGGCAAAGTTACCAGAGAGCTCAGTTCCAAGTAAGTGACGTTACAATAATAGAAAGCACAAGCATATACCAAAGAACAAACTGACTAATATTTCTAGGTTGTTAAAAGTGGTGACAGGGCTGTGGTGGGTGGCAAAATATAGTCACTAATTTGCAATTGTCAGCTCAGGTGCTCATGCTCAATTCTGCCCCCAGGTGACTGTGCTGGACAACGGGGAGCCTCCACTAAAGTCCACCTCCAGGGTGGTGGTAGGCATCTTGGACGTCAATGACAATCCACCTGTATTCTCCCACAAGCTCTTCAATGTCCGCCTTCCAGAGAGGCTGAGCCCAGTGTCCCCTGGGCCTGTGTACAGGCTGGTGGCTTCAGACCTGGACGAGGGTCTTAATGGCAGAGTCACCTACAGTATCGAGGAAAGCGATGAGGAGGGCTTCAGTATCGATCCTGTTACAGGTGTGGTGTCATCCAGCAGCATTTTTACAGCTGGAGAGTACAACATCCTAACGGTGAGCAGACAGATGGAAGCCACGGAGGGAGGAGTGGCACGCTTGTTAGGGACCGTCTTTGAGAATTCAGGGGGAGGGAGACAGCCCGCCAGCATGAGGGACGTGGTACTCTCCTTCCTGGCCTTCTCCCAGAGAAACTGGGAGTCCCAGCTTCAGCCAAAGAATCAAATTCTGGGTCCTTCTCTTTGAGGGCAATACAATTTTTGCCTGGGAAATCCCCTCTATTCTTAGAAGGGTTTTGTGAGAGTCACAGAGGTTTTGGAAGCAATAAGCCTGGGTTCCAGTCCTACTACTGCCATTTTACACCTGTGTGACCTTGGACAAGTCATTTAACCTTTGTTTTATCATTTGTAAAATGGAGATAGGAACATTTTTCTTGTGAAAAGCCAATATATCAAGTAGGTAGTGCATGGGTGCTTGTATCAGTCAGCCTGACTTCAACCCCAGTTTCATTGCTAGCCAAGCATTCATCTGGTAGGCGAATCTACCACGATGAGCCCTAGTTTCTTCTTGTGAAAGAGAGATGATGGTTTCCAGTTTCATCCGTGAAACTGTCATTCTCAGCAAACTGACACAAGAACAGAAAACCAAACACTGCATGTTCTCATTCATAAGTAGATGTTGAACAATGAGAACACACGGACACAGAGAAGGGAACGTCACACACCGGGGCCTGGCGGATGCAGGGCTAGGAGAGGAGTGGTAGGAGGCGGGGGATTGGGGAGGGACAGCATCAGGTGAAATATCTAATGTAGATGAAGGGGCAATGGAGGCAGCAAACCACCACCATGGCATGTGTGTACCTATGTAACAAACCTGCACGATCTGCACACACATGTACCCCAGAACTTAATATAATAATAAAGAGAGATGACAATAGAACCTCTTCCAGGGTTATTGTGAGAATTAAATCAGATATTATACACAAATCTCTTAGAATAAGGCCTGATAATAGTGAGTGTCCAAAAAATTCTAGCTTGTTAGGTTTATGGTAGTAGGGAAAAGCAAAGGGCATATGTATGTAAAGTCCAGTTTAGGAAGTAGCACATAGTGAGTCTTCAGTTAACAGTGGCATTTATGATTTTTATACTAACCATGAGATTCTTGAGCACAGGTTATATGTCTTGTTCGCCACCATGCCTGCAGCTACTGGCAGGGTGCCTGTTTACAGCAAGCCCTCAAGCGTGCATCAAATGGATGAACGACTGGACAAGAGGCCAGCTTGGTCAGAATCACAGGACGCTCTGGTTCCTGTCCTGGCTGCTTGGGCCTTCTTGTCTCTTGGTCCTAACCCTCAGTTTTGGTGTTGGCCCCTTTCAGATCAAGGCAACAGACAATGGGCAGCCACCACTCTCAGCCAGTGTCCGGCTACACATTGAGTGGATCCCTCGGCCTCGGCCGTCCTCCATTCCCCTGGCCTTTGATGAGACCCACTACAGCTTTACGGTCATGGAGACGGACCCTGTGAACCACATGGTGGGGGTCATCAGTGTAGAGGGCAGACCTGGCCTCTTCTGGTTCAACATCTCAGGTGAGGCGAGGCCAAGGGCCCAATGAGGGCCAGCCACTCCCATCCTTATACACTAGCTCGTTTTCCTGCTACAGTCCTTCTGACCCTTCTCAAGGTCAGGCTCCTTGGCAGCCCCTCTTTCGGCCCTGAGTGAGGACTCCCTCTTTACTGCTTCTCTGGGAGCACAGGCAGTAAGAATGCCACGTCTGCCAAGTTTTCCTTTCACTCCACCCACAATCTCTAACCCCACCCAGAGCTGGCAGTGTCTCAGTTACTCCAAGAGCCTGGGAGAGCCAAGATGGTCCAGAAAGATCCAGAGCAGAAAGCACATGCTTGGTGTTCCTTTTTCTGCCTCAATGTGAAAATCATAGTTGACAGTGACCCTGCCATCAGCTATGCCCTGGGGCCATGCTCAGTGTTCTGGCTCCAGGTTTCGCCCTTGAGATCAGGGGAAAATGCCCATTCTCATTCCAGGAGGCACTTGGATCTGGGTTCTAATGGCCTTCTCTGAAATTCCTCTCTGTCTCTAAACCAAGGCTTTGTTTCAACATCTGGAGGTCACAGAACCCTTCAGGAATCTGGTGAATGCTTAGGTCCTCTTCCCAGCAAGTTGCGTACACAAACACACACAAATGTAAATCTGCATACAATGTAGAGGATTTATAGGCTCTCTGAAATCCATCCAGGGATTCCAGGTTAAAAATCTTTGGAGAGTGTCCGCACCCACTGAACATGGAGTCCTAGTACAGAGTTTTCCATCCTGGCTAAGAGTAGGATGGAATATATGCACCTGACCCAATCTTTGAAACTCCTGTACTTACTTCCAGTTCTGGTTTACTGCCCTTTTTTTTTTTTTTTTTTTTTTTTTTGAGATGGAGTTTCACTCCTGTTGTCCTGGCTAGAGTGTAATGGCATGATCTCGGCTCACCACAACCTCTGCCTCCAGGGTTCAAGCGATTTTCGTGCCTTAGCCTCCCGAATAACTGGGGTTACAAGCATATGCCACCACGCTTGGCTAATTTTTGTGTTATTGGTAGAGATGGGGTTTCTTCATGTTGGTCAGGCTGGTTTTGAACTCCTGACCTTAAGTGATTCGCACCCACTTGGCCTCCCAAAGTGCGGGGATTACAGGTGTGAGCCACCGTGCCCAGCTGGTTTACTGTTCTTTCTTTTAATTGTTTGACTTTTTTTTCTTTAATGCCAAATTAACGCATGTACCCTCTAAAACATTTCAAAAACACAAATGGGCTGGGCACAGTGGCTCACGCCTGTAATCCCAGCTACTTGAGAGGCTGAAGCAGGAGGATCACTTGAGGCTGAGTGCAAGGTTTCAGTGAGCTATGATTGCACCATGCACTCCAGCCTGGGTGGCAGAGCGGGACCCTGTCTATAAGTAAGTAAATAAGCACACACAAATGAATGCAGAGAAGAAAATAAAAGTCACCTAAAGTTCCACCAATCAGAAGATAATCCACTGTTATAATTTTGATGTGTTTCTTTCTTGTCATTTTTATTTTACATACACACACACACACACATACACACACACGTACACACACATGCCCTTAGGGTTATATTAAAATATGGTTTTATAATATTTTAAAATGTAATTTGTCATGAACATATTTGCGTGTCGCTAAACATATTTTTATATACTAGACATTTAAAAAGCTTCATGGTATTTTACATTTGGATTCTTATAGTTTATTAATCAATTTGATTTATTAATCAAATTCAAATAAAAATAACTTGACAGCAATTTGACAGAATAAATTACACTTTTGGGGACTCCCTGGGGGAATATACCACAACCTGTCTCCCAGATCTTGTGCTGTTTCTGAATAGAGTCTTAGAATCCCTGACTCAGGTTCCTCCTTGAATGCCCACAGTCCTGCCAGCCAAGGTTGGCATTTACCACCACGTCCTCTAAGCCTGACAACCAAAGCCCATCTTCTGCTATGCTGTCTAAATCACTGAGGTTGTGTGTGCTTTCTCCCCACCCCCACTCTAGGTGGGGATAAGGACATGGACTTTGACATTGAGAAGACCACAGGCAGCATCATCATTGCCAGGCCTCTTGATACCAGGAGGAGGTCGAGCTATAACTTGACTGTCGCGGTGACAGATGGGTCCCGCACCATTGCCACCCAGGTTAGAGGCCTCAGTTGGGGATCCCTGTGTTGAGAGGGGAGGGAAGGTCTCCTTGGTTGCGGTGAGACTACAGAGGTTTTCTGTGGATGTGGTGTTCCTCAAGGAACACTGAATTTAGAGTCAAGATTCTTGTCTAATACACTCTCTGCTTCTGTGATGCTGGGAGAATTCTTGCTCCCAATCTAGATCTATCTGTAATCAGGGGGTTGTTTAAATAAGCAGTTTTAATTAAAGATAGAGTACCGTGGGCAACCATGGGTATAGGGGGATGATGGTTGGGTAAGTGGGGCTCTGAATTTCTATTCTGGCTTCAGCCAGGATTTTATCTTTTTCTTATATTTGGACTTCACACAACATTACCATTGATGGAAAGACTATTCAGGAAAATTTCTGTTTTTGAAAAACACTAGACTCTGCAGCATCTGAAGGTCTTTTGACTTTGAAATACTATCATTCATTCAACAAATATTTATCAAGTGATTGCTGAGTGACAGACACTGTGCTAGGCCCGGATGGTACAGGGAGGTCCAGGCCGACCTGGCTCGCAGTGTACCTTCTCCCTGACTTCCCTCTCTAGGTCCATGTCTTCATGATTGCCAACATTAACCACCATCGACCCCAGTTTCTGGAAACTCATTATGAAGTCAGAGTTCCTCAGGACACCCTGCCCGGGGTGGAGCTCCTCCGAGTTCAGGCCATAGATCAAGACAAGGGCAAAGGCCTCATCTATACCATACATGGCAGCCAAGACCCAGGAAGTGCCAGTCTCTTCCAGCTGGACCCCAGCAGTGGTGTTCTGGTAACAGTGGGGAAATTGGACCTGGGCTCAGGGCCCTCCCAGCACACACTGACAGTCATGGTGAGTAAGTGGAAAAATTGGGTGAGAATATGCTTGCATGTAGATGTGTGGGGGTGGACACGCTTAGAGACGTGCTGAAGGTCCTCCTTCCCCTAGTGAGCCAGGTGTACCGATGCCCATACGGACCATCCATGAGACAGAGTTGTGACATTTCACAGCTGGCCAAGGGCACCTTCCATAAGGGATGCCTGGGAGTGAAGGTAGAGATGGGACAGCTGCCAAGGAAACTCCTGTCAACCTTGGTTCTCACTAGACTCACCCAAATATTCCCTAAGAGCTCTCTCCCTGCTCAGTGACTTCATGACACAATGTGGATTCACATAGTGTCAGAGCTGGAAGGGACACGGAGCCCCTCCCGCTGAGAGCAAGGATTAGGTCAGGCCAGCAAGGCATGCAGGACACAAAATGTAAGAGGACTCACTCTCTGGGCCATGTGCTTGCGTTTCTACGACCCCAGGAGTCAGCGCCTCTTTACATTTTGCACCCTGCTTGCCTCACTTGCCTCCCCGTAGTTCTATCCCTGACCCTGCTCATTTGTCTCATCTTATACCTGAGATCAACAGAGAAAGACAGACTTGCTCACTGTCATCCAGTTATTTATGATGGAACCAGGATCAGAGTCTGGCCTCCTGTCTTAAAGATCAGGGTTCTTATGTGCTAATTTATCATCCTCTGGGCATATAATATGTATTCAAGGCTCTGAGAAGTCCTGCAACAAAGAAAACCGATTTCATTTAATTCAGTGCTCCCCACATTTACGTGACCATATAATTTTTTTCCTGCATAACATGTTAACGACTTGAAGAATGGATATTCTCTGAGTTGTAATTTGGAAAACACTGCTTCTTTGCCTATTTCTGCCTTTCTCCTAAAATAGAATTATCAATTAAAATAGCTAAGCCTGGGAATCACTGACTGATAAATTTACATAAAAGAAGAAAAAGAGCATAGATTAGAACAATATTTAAAAGAATATGGAGAGTTAGTTACCATTGGGCATATTTTAAATTGACATTCTAGTTCATTGACCTTACCCTAACTCTGTCTCCTCCTATTCCATTTGCTGCTCACCCAATTACCCCTTTGGGTTCTTAGGTCCGAGACCAGGAAATACCCATTAAGAGGAACTTTGTATGGGTGACCATTCATGTGGAGAATGGAAACCTCCACCCACCCCGCTTCACCCAGCTCCATTATGAGGCAAGTATTCCTGACACCACAGCCCCCGGCACAGAGCTGCTGCAGGTCCGAGCCATGGATGCTGACCAGGGAGCCAATGCTGAGGTCCGCTACAGCCTCCTGAAAGGTGAGAGGCTGGGCCATGAGTTCAGAGGATGGGTCAAGATGCTTTAGAAATAAAGGAAAGTACTAGAGGCATGAATCTTCAAATTAATTACCAGGCTCATGAAGTCTTGGCAAACAATAATTCTAGAGCATTCCCTGGGATTACCTAATTAATGCACTTCCAAAGATAGTAATAACAGTAACTAAGGACCACTCATGTTGTGGGAGAATTTGCATATATATTATATAAACCCACCAATGACCAAATATGTAGAAGATATTTATGAAGTCCATGCAACATTTAATAATGTAATAGCTTCACACATGTATGTTAGAATATTTTGTAAGTTGTATGGCTTAGTTTTAGAAGTAATTTTAATTTTCTGATAAGGCTGCACAGTGATTTAGTATCTATCTTACAGGTTTCTTCATCTCAAAAATGGGAATCATCTTACCTGTGATAGAAAGTCATTGCAAAAATTAAAAGAGAAAATGTATGTTAACACATGTTGTAAATTGAAATACAAATGCCAGAGGCTAGTACTTTCATTGATAAGTGTTAATTATAAGCAATTGCTATAACAAAAGTGATAATATCCAGTATCCAACTAATTATTTATGATAATTTGTAACAATTATAATACCTAATTAATGATATTTAATAGTAATAATTATATTTAATAATTAATACTTCATAGAGCTAGTTGCTATGAGAAACAAAGATGAGCATAATTTGCTGTCTGCCCTTGCAAGATCTAACGTTCATTTACTGCATGCCAGTAGCTTGTACGGTAGCTACTGGTTGCCATATCACAGAAGTCTATTCACCCCTGAAGAAGAATACGGGTTATAATGCATTGCTTGCTTTTTGTGATTTATGAAATGAAATCACATCTTTTATCTCATTGACAACCTCACTGATGGAGATAATGACTTTATATTCCAGATAAGACTAGTTTTAAGATATTCTTCTGATATAGAAGTAACACATGCTCATTTTTGAAAACATGAAAAGCACAGGAATGTATAAAGAACACAACCCACAGCCGTAATTTTCATCACCCTAAAATGATTATTTTCTGCTTTTCCCTCTCATCTTCCCTTATGCATATTTTTGTAATATTGAGATCATAATGAATATACAGTTTTGTGCCCTGATTTATTTATCTCAGCAGTATTATATTACATAATAAATTATCATCAGGATTACATCCAGGTTGGTAACTTAGCTGCTTTTAACGGAATCACTTTAAAACAGCTATTTACTCATTAAAACCATGTTCTTTGACTGAATTTAGCCGTTATATGACAAATCACCTAACCAGTCAGCTGGAGAAGGGCTTCAAAGGTGGAGGAATCAGATTGAAAGTTTTATGACAAAACTTAGCCATTTGCTTTGTCATTGAAATAATAAAATTTGCACCCATGTGATAGAGGGCATAAGACTTGTAAAGTGCAATAGTTTCTCAAGTGTAAGGCTTGTACCTGTGGTGGTGAGCAAAGCAATTCAAGCATTACTCAGTTATGGCATCAAAAGGTAATTGGGCATGGAGAAAGCACTCCTCTTTAAATTACTCCCTGAGAAAATGAAGAACAAAGTCTCTGTTGGGTACTAGAATGTCTATTAGTCTTCTCTAGCACCTGCCACTCTTTGTTTACCAAAAAAAAAAAAAAAAAAAAAAAAAAAGATAGCTCACAGGCTCAGACCTTTGGCAAGCAGTATCTTGATTTTAATGGGGTATTTTTTCTTTGACTTCTTTTTATGGTAACTTCTGATTTATGGAAAGCAATATGGTGTTTTTATTCAAAGAAGCAACATAGATTTACCTTTAAAAATATTTATCAAATTTTAAGAGTGAATTAATTTAAAGGAAAACATCAATTTATTAATAGTGTAAAATAGCATAGGCAATGGATGGATATTGAAAAAATTACAAAGATGACGTGAGAATGCCTAAAGTTTAGGAAATACAGGCGTGGTGCAAAGGCATTTGCTCAGAAGCCTAGAGATACAGGTGTTCTATACAATCAAAGCTATTAAAAATTATGTAAAAATGTAGCCAGGCATAATGGCTTACACCTATAATCCCAGCAGAGGCTGAGGCTGGAGAACCTCTTGAACCCTGGAGTTTGAGGCTACAGTGAGCCATGCTCACATCACTACACTCCAGCCTGGGCGACAGGCAAGACCCTGACTCTAAAAAAAAAAAGTTATATAAAAAATGGTTAAATATTCTGTATAATGCAATTTTTCAGTAAGAAGCTTTTCCCACAAAAGGCATCACTGAAATTCAGAGTGGAGTGTGCTTTTCCTGTGGAGTCTCCTTTTTTGGTTTCAAAGACCTCATATACCTTTGATTTGTAGCTTAAGTTGTATCCCGGAAACTTAGTGATAGTTGATAGTGATATGAAGTACCTACTATGTGCACTATGTTAGAAAATTTATAAAGTATCTACCCTACACACTACATCCAGGGTGGATATACACTATATGCAGATTTTGCTCTGTCCAGGTTTTGTGTGCCCATTTACTGATCTAGAAAACCTAGTTGATACCTCTCGAGGTGTGGCACACTTGTTTCTCTTGTCTTCTGTTTCAGGGAATGGTGAAGCTTTCTTCAACATCAATGCCCTGCTAGGCATCATTACTATAGCTCAAAAACTTGATTGGGCAAATCATGCCCCGCATACCCTGACAGTGAAGGCAGAAGATCAAGGCTCCCCACAATGGCATGACCTGGCTACAGTGATCATTCATGTCTACCCCTCAGATAGGAGCGCCCCTATCTTTTCAAACACCGAGTACTTTGTAGAGATCCCCGAATCAATCCCTGTTGGTTCCCCAATCCTCCTTGTCTCTGCTATGAGCTCCTCTGAAGTTACCTATGAGTTAAGAGAGGGAAACAAGGATGGTGTCTTCTCTATGAACTCATATTCTGGCCTCATTTCCACCCAGAAGAACCTGGACCATGAGAAAATCTCATCTTACCAGCTGAAAATCCGAGGCAGCAATATGGCAGGTGCATTTACTGATGTCATAGTGGTAGTTGACATAATTGATGAAAATGACAATGCTCCTATGTTCTTAAAGTCAACTTTTGTGGGCCAAATTAGTGAAGCAGCTCCATTGTACAGCATGATCATGGATAAAAACAACCACCCCTTTGTGATTCATGCCTCTGACAGTGACAAAGAAGCTAATTCCTTGTTGGTGTATAAAATTTTGGAGCCAGAGGCCTTGAAGTTTTTCAAAATTGATCCCAGCATGGGAACCCTAACCATTGTATCAGAGATGGATTATGAGAGCAGGCCCTCTTTCAAATTCTGTGTCTATGTCCATGACCAGGGAAGCCCCATATTATTTGCACCCAGACCTGCCCAAGTCATCATTAATGTCAGAGATGTGAATGACTCTCCTCCCAGATTCTCAGAACAGATATATGAGGTAGCAATAGTGGGGCCTATCCATCCAGGCATGGAGCTTCTCATGGTGCGGGCCAGCGATGATGACTCTGAAGTCAACTATAGCATCAAAACTGGCAATGCTGATGAAGCTGTTACCATCCATCCTGTGACTGGCCGCATATCTGTGCTGAATCCTGCTTTCATGGGACTCTCTCGGAAGCTCACCATCAGGGCTTCTGATGGCTTGTATCAAGACACTGCCCTGGTAAAAATTTATTTGACCCAAGTCCTTGACAAAAGCTTGCAGTTTGATCAGGATGTCTATAGCGCAACTGTGAAGGAGAACTTGCAGGACAGAAAGGCACTGGTGATTCTTGGTACCCAGGGCAATTATTTGAATGACACCCTTTCCTACTTCCTCTTGAATGGCACAGATATGTTTCATATGGTCCAGTCAGCAGGTGTGTTGGAGACAAGAGGTGTGGTGTTTGACCGGGAGCAGCAGGACACTCACGAGCTGGCAGTGGAAGTGAGGGACAATCGGACCCCTCAACGGGTAGCTCAGGCTTTGGTACGAGTCTCTATTGAGGATGTCAATGATAATCCCCCCAAATTTAAGCATCTGCCCTATTACACAATCATCCAAGATGGCACAGAGCCAGGGGATGTCCTCTTTCAGGTATCTGCCACTGATGAGGACTTGGGGACAAACGGGGCTGTTACATATACATTTGCAGAAGATTATACATATTTCCGAATTGACCCCTATCTTGGGGACATATCACTCAGGAAACCCTTTGATTATCAAGCTTTAAATAAGTATCGCCTCAAAGTCATTGCTCGGGATGGAGGAACACCATCCCTCCAGAGTGAGGAAGAGGTACTTGTCACAGTGAGAAATAAATCCAACCCACTGTTTCAGAGTCCTTACTACAAAGTCAGAGTACCTGAAAATATCACCCTCTATACCCCAATTCTCCACACCCAGGCCCGAAGTCCTGAGGGACTCCGGCTCATCTACAACATTGTGGAGGAAGAACCTTTGATGCTGTTCACCACTGACTTTAAGACCGGTGTCCTAACAGTAACAGGGCCTTTAGACTATGAGTCTAAGACCAAACATGTGTTCACAGTCAGAGCCACAGATACAGCTCTGGGTTCATTTTCTGAAGCCACAGTGGAAGTCCTGGTGGAGGACGTCAATGATAACCCTCCCACTTTTTCCCAATTGGTCTATACCACTTCTATCTCAGAAGGCTTGCCTGCTCAGACCCCTGTGATCCAACTGTTGGCTTCTGACCAGGACTCAGGGAGGAACCGTGACGTCTCTTATCAGATCGTGGAGGATGGCTCAGATGTTTCCAAGTTCTTCCAGATCAATGGGAGCACGGGGGAGATGTCCACAGTTCAAGAACTGGATTATGAAGCCCAACAACGCTTTCATGTGAAAGTCAGGGCCATGGATAAAGGAGATCCTCCACTCACTGGTGAAACCCTTGTGGTTGTCAATGTATCTGATATCAATGATAATCCCCCAGAGTTCAGACAACCTCAATATGAAGCCAATGTCAGTGAGCTGGCAACCTGTGGACACCTGGTTCTTAAAGTCCAGGCTATTGACCCTGACAGCAGGGATACATCCCGCCTGGAGTACCTGATTCTTTCTGGCAATCAGGACAGGCACTTCTCCATTAACAGCTCGTCAGGAATAATTTCTATGTTCAACCTTTGCAAAAAGCACCTGGATTCTTCTTACAATTTAAGGGTAGGTGCTTCTGATGGGGTCTTCCGAGCAACTGTGCCTGTTTACATCAACACTACAAATGCCAACAAGTACAGCCCAGAGTTCCAGCAGCACCTTTATGAGGCAGAATTAGCAGAGAATGCAATGGTTGGAACCAAGGTGATTGATTTGCTAGCCATAGACAAAGATAGTGGTCCCTATGGTACTATAGATTATACTATCATCAATAAACTAGCAAGTGAGAAGTTCTCCATAAGCCCCAATGGCCAGATTGCCACTCTGCAGAAACTGGATCGGGAAAATTCAACAGAGAGAGTCATTGCTATTAAGGTCATGGCTCAAGATGGAGGAGGAAGAGTGGCCTTCTGCACGGTGAAGATCATCCTCACAGATGAAAATGACAACCCCCCACAGTTCAAAGCATCTGCATACACGGTATCCATTCAATCCAATGTCAGCAAAGACTCCCCGGTTATCCAGGTGCTGGCCTACGATGCAGATGAAGGTCAGAACGCGGATGTCACCTACTCAGTGAACCCAGAGGACCTAGTTAAAGATGTCATTGAAATTAACCCAGTCACTGGTGTGGTCAAGGTGAAAGACAGCCTGGTGGGATTGGAAAATCGGAGCATCGACTTCATAATCAAAGCCCAGGATGGAGGCCCTCCTCACTGGAACTCTCAGGTGCCCGTAAGACTTCAGGTGGTTCCTAAAAAAGTATCCTTGCCAAAGTTTTCTGAACCTCTGTATACTTTCCCTGCATCTGAAGACCTTCCAGAAGGGTCTGAAATTGGGGTTGTTAAAGCAGTGGCAGCTCATGATCCAGTCATCTACAGTCTAGTGCGGGGTACCACACCTGAGAGCAACAAGGATGGTGTCTTCTCCTTGGACCCAGACACAGGGGTCATAAAGGTGAGGAAGACCATGGACCATGAATCCACCAAATTGTACCAGATTGATGTGATGGCACATTGCCTTCAGAACACTGACGTGGTGTCCTTGGTCTCTGTCAACATCCAAGTGATAGACGTCAATGACAATAGGCCTGTATTCGAGGCTGATCCATATAAGGCTGTCCTCACTGAGAATATGCCAGTGGGGACCTCAGTCATTCAAGTGACTGCCATTGACAAGGACACTGGGAGAGATGGCCAGGTAAGCTACAGGCTGTCTGCAGACCCCGGTAGCAATGTCCATGAGCTCTTTGCCATTGATAGTGAGAGTGGTTGGATCACCACACTCCAGGAACTTGACTGTGAGACCTGCCAGACTTATAATTTTCATGTGGTGGCCTATGACCATGGACAGACCATTCAGCTATCCTCTCAGGCCCTGGTTCAGGTCTCCATTACCGACGAGAATGACAATGCTCCCCGGTTTGCTTCTGAAGAGTACAGAGGATCCGTGATTGAGAACAGTGAGCCCGGTGAACTGGTGGCCACTCTAAAGACCCTGGATGCTGACATCTCTGAGCAGAACAGGCAAGTCACCTGCTACATCACAGGTAAGGACACCTGTCATGGATTGCAGGCTCGGGAATGTATTGAAAAAAATGCAGGAAGAGGTGCCCTAAAATAGATTCATGTCCTGGGTTTGCCACTTATTAGCAGTGTGACTTTGGGCACACTTAACCCCCTAGGACCTCAGTTGCTCCACCTATAGACTTAGCATGCATGTTCTCATTCACCTCGCAGGCATGCTGGTAAGATCTTAATTTATAGAGAGCCCTATACATTAGAAAGTGCTTTGCAAAAAGGATGTCTCATTATTTTATGTGAATCATACTCTAAGTGCTGTCAGTTGTCTTTTGAAAGATGGAGGAGGCACCAAGAAAGTTGCATGATCTGTGAAAATTCTGTCAAGTGACTTTACGGAGAGTGTCCTGCCCAGGGAAAGTAGTGAGTGATACAAAATGCTTCTTAGTCAATCACAGGTCCTAAGTGTAGGAATGACAGCACTTCCTTAGATATAATTTCCTCATTTCACATAGGTGGAAACCAAGGCCCAGATGGAGAAGTTCAACCAAGGTTACACTCTTGTGCTTACTTCAGGGCTGGGGTTAAAACCCTACCCTACAAGCTGTTTTCCTTAGTAGATACCTACTGTAAAACTAAACTACCTGACTCCCAATCCAATGGCTAAACCAGCTAACCAGTGGTCATGAGAGTTTCTTCACACCTCAGTGTCTTTTTTTTCTCATCTCCAGGAGCCAGGTCCCCCTGTTCCCATGAACATGGCTCCTTCTGCTATCACAGCTGTCCAGTGAAGAGTTCATTAGCCTGAAATTCCAACCAAGAACCATATACTCCTAAAGACATAGGATCAAAGCTGTTTGAAATACAGTTGTAGAAAAATAGAATCTTATCATCTTAAAATATCAGACATCTAAAAATGCAGGAGCCTTAAAATCTCAGGATCATAGAATAAAAAATGTCAACATATTATCAATTCTTGGAGTAGTTGGATCTTAGAACTCTGGAATCTTAGGATCTCAGAGTGAGAAATCCATATTCCCACATTCTTGTATGTGATTAGTGTCAAGGAAAGAAAGGTGACTTACAAGCAAACCTAGAGCTCCTACAGAACCTCCACTTAGGCCACATCCTTAGTTGTAAAGTAAAACCTTGGAGCGTTTAGTGTTTTTGTTTTGTTTTATTTTGTTTTTTGAGATGGAGTCTCACTCTGTCACCCAGGCTGGAGTGCAATGGTGTGGTCTTGGCTCACTGAACTTCCACCTCCCAGGTTCAAGCAATTCTCCTGCCTCAGCCTCCCGAGTAGCTGGGACAACTGACATGTGGCACCACACCAGGCTAATTTTTGTATTTTTAGTACAGATGGGGTTTCACTATGTTGGCCGGGCTGGTCTCGAACTCCTGACCTTGTGATCTGCCCACTTTGGCCTCCCAAAGTGTTGGGATTACAGGTGTGAGCCACCGTGCCCAGCCTGTTTTGTGTTTTTGATTGCTTCCTACCACTCCACTGTTATATAGCTATACATCTTAGACATTTACATAGAACTGAAATTTGTTTCCCTTTAACTTCCTCCCATGCCTTCTGGGCCACAAAACTAAACCCTCCACTCAGCCACGTATTTTGGAGTGATGCTTCTTGTATCAATAATTTCATTTAACAGGAGGCATTTGAAGTCAGAAGTAGTTTCCTAACACCAAAAAGTGGGCTGAGTGTAGAATTGTGGGTTCCTAGTTAAGGAAGGAAATATTTGCCTTCCCAGCAATCCTAAAAAACATGTCCAGTGGGCAGCCACCTGTGACACAAAGCCTAGATCATTTCTATTGCTTGGCTTCTGAAAGCTCTTCCCATTTGTTTAGAGGGAGACCCCCTGGGCCAGTTTGGCATCAGTCAAGTTGGAGATGAGTGGAGGATTTCCTCAAGGAAGACCCTGGACCGCGAGCACATGGCCAAGTACTTGCTCAGAGTCACAGCATCTGATGGCAAGTTCCAGGCTTCGGTCACCGTTGAGATCTTTGTCCTGGACGTCAATGATAACAGCCCACAGTGCTCACAGGTGAGAGCCCGGTGAGGGGCGAGGTGCGTAGTGGAGGCAAGGAAGGTAGAGTGAGGGGTGGGAGAACAGAGCGAGGGGCAGTAGAAGGGAGGTAGAGTGGGGCAGAAGAACAGAGAGTGAGGAGCAGGAGAAAGGAGGGCTGAGGGACCCACCTCTGAGGCTGGCCATCACTAACCTCACCTCCCTTGCTTCTCCCCGGCAAGCTTCAGGCTAGTTCCTGGGAGCATTCTAGGTAATTCCTTGGCCCCCATAAGGATATGCCAAGCTATTCAAGACTCATGGCCCACATCTTTCCCCCTACATTCCCAACAAAGGTGTATTTCTCTGCAGAACATATCCAGAAGGAAAGTAACATATGCAATCTCCAAACACAGCCAGCCATGCCCAATGGGCAAACCCCTGGTACTGCTCAACTTGTTGATATGGCTCTCTATTATCAAATGCATTAATACAGACCTGGCCCCAGACAAACTCCCCACCCCATGCCTGTATATGCACCTCCCTACATCCGCTGGGGTAATTTAGCCAACTGCAGATCCCCTCCTTATACATAGACACAGGCAAATACCTATACATATGTACACAAAAACACATAAGCATATACCTACCATCTAAACAAGACATATACCCACATCTACACGAGACAGGGCAGCCTCAGAGATGGGTCCCTCAGTCCTCCTTTCTCCTGCCCCTCACCCTACCTCCCTTCTCCTGCCCCTCTCTCTGTTCTTCTTCCCCTCACTCTACCACACATGCAGCTATACATAATACACTCACATGAACATACTTACATATGCATTTGCATATATACAAACTTTTACTTACTTGCACACACATATAAATGTATAGGCACACACCTGGCAATACACATAAATACATGTATCTCCTCACCTTTTCTTCCTCCGTTCTTCTACATGCCTGTCACAAAAAGTCCTAGTAGAAAAAGAGAGTCTGATTATTGATATGCATGCAAAATGTCTTCAGGATCCAAGATGACCATGTTTTGGGTAGTCTCAGAAGGGAGGCTTTCTTGGGGAGAATGGTGGTCACCTTCCTTCTCTTTTCCCTCAGCTACCATTACAGCCAACATCTGTCCTCCCCATGTTGGGAGAGGCTGGGATCAGGCTCAGCTTGGTCCTCCTAGAGATGGTTCATAGCACCAATAGAGCCAGGGAAAAGAGGCCTGGGGAACCATCTCCGCACAGCCGCGCAGGCATAAAACTTCCATCAACGCCTGTAATAAGAGCACTTTGGGAGGCCAAGGCAGGCGATCACCTGAGGTCAGCCTGGCCAACATGGCAAAACCCCGTCTGTACTAACAATACAAAAAAAAAAAAAAAAAAGAAAGAAAAAATGAGCCAGGTGTGGTGGCATGTGCCTGTAATCCCAGCTACCTAGGAGGCTGAGGCAAGGTAATTGCTTGAACCCAGGAGGAGGAGGTTGCAGTGAGCCAAGATAGTGCACTGTACTCTAGCCTGGGTGACAGAGTGAGACTCCATCTCAAAGAAAAAGAAAAGAACAGAAGAAAACAAATAAAACTTCCATCCAGGGCATACAGGGGTCCATGCTTGCCCACACTCCACAGTGGTAGAAACCATGATGCTTGGAGGCTGGCTCAGAGTCAGGCACTGAAGAAAAATTGAATTCTCAGGGATCTCCAGCCTTTCCCTCTGCCACCCCCTCAGATGTCATGAAGGTACCTGCAGCAAAGGGACGGCAGGCCAAGAAATGGGGCCACTGGAGTCCAGACCTGACTCAAAGGTCAAGCGTCGGTCCTGGGGATGTGGTCAGGGAGATAAGCTTAATAGCATGGCCTTGCCACAGAGGCAGGGGAGGTTGACCTGACGCAGAGGCAGGGGAGGTTGACCTGACACCTTCCAGAATGACTGCGTCAGGCTCATCTTGCCTTCCTCCTCCAAAAGCCTCAAAGGACTGGTTGGAAGAAGTTATAGCAGCCCCTTCTAGCTCTGCCTGTGGGCTTTTCCGATGGTGGAACTTCTCCATTCTCTCTTTTCTGACTTGTTCTCTTGTCATCCTCTTCCTGCTTTATATCTCAATTTTCCTTGCATGTTTCATCGTATTCTACCCCCTCTGTTCTCCTCCCTCCCTCCCTCTGCTTCTCTTTCTCTCTGTCTCTGTCTCTGTCTGTTTTACTGTCTCTGTTCATCTCTGCCCTCTTAGTGTCTCTCTTTCTGCTTCTGCCTCCCTCTGCTTCTCTCTGGATTTGAATGCGGTTCCCACAGTCTCCCTCTTCTTTGTCTTTCCATCTCTAGCTTCTCTATACTGGCAAGGTTCATGAAGATGTATTTCCAGGACACTTCATTTTGAAGGTTTCTGCCACAGACTTGGATGCTGATACCAATGCTCAGATCACATATTCTCTGCATGGCCCTGGGGCGCATGAATTCAAGCTGGATCCTCATACAGGTGGGTTTCCTGAGCTGCAGGATCAAGACAAGAACTTCTTTACTGTATACCAAGTGCCCAGTGCCATGGTATTCTCCTTGGAGAAGAAACAGGAATTCACTTATCCATCAGCAAACATATATTGGTCCTGTGTGCCAAGCATTGGACTGGGGACATAATAAATAGATTGATAAGACAAGATTTGGGTCTTTACAATCTAGTGGGAAAGGGAGTTACTGAAGTGGTTTTAAATGTGCTGAATTAAAGAAAAAAATGCAGGGTGCTAAGGGGGTTAATTTTATTCTTTTAAAATTTATTTAAGCACAGCTGACACCTTGGTTTCCCTTTTGCTTCCCCTTCCCTTTCCTCCCCGCCCCTCTTCCTTCCCTTCCCCTCCCCTCTCCTCTCCTCCTCTTTCCTCTTCTTCCCTTTTCTTTTCTTTTCTCCCCTTCCCTTTTTCTTTTCTTTTCCTTCCTTCCTTCTTTCCTTCCTTCCTTCCCTCCTTCCCTCTTCCTTCCTTCCTTTCTTTCTTTCCTTTCTTTCCTTCCTTCCTTCCTTCCTTCCTTTCTCTTTCTTTCTTTCTTTCTTTCCTTCTTTCTTCCTTTCCTTCTCTTTCTTTCTTTCCTTTCTTTCTTTCCTTCCTTCTTTTCTTTCTCTTTCTTTCTTTCTTCTTTCTTTCTTCTCTCTCTCTCTCTCTCTTTCTGTCTTTCTGCTAGCTATGGGAATAGCTAGCAGAAAGACAGAACTTGACTTGGGCTATGGAGTGGGGTTCAGTAAAACATCACTGAGGGAATGCCACTTTATGTGAGACTTGCAGACACAGAAGAGTAAGCCAGGGGTAAGAGAATGGGGGAAAGAGCACTCAAAGTAGAAGGAAAACTTATACAAAGACCTTCTCTGGGGAAATAGTACCCTCACTGAGGACCTGACAGAAGGCCACAAACTGATGCCCAGAGAGGGAGGAGAAAGAACAAAGAATGAGGCTCCAGGGTGGACAGAGCCAAATCACATCTTTAAAGCCATTGGAGGATTTAGGCCGGTGAATGTCATGGTCAGGAACATGATCTCAAGGTATCTGTGCTGCAAACTGGGGATTGCACCTCATAGAATTTTTGGGAAGATCACAAGTGAGAAAGCATATGGAAGCCTAGCCCAGGTCTGGCTCAGTGGATATGGTTGCCATTATCATTGTTACTAGTTAGGGGACAAAGCAGATTGGGAAGCAGAGATTTCTGCAGGATAAGCCAGGAGTACCCAGGAGAGCCGGGCTGTGAGTCTGGTGGAGTGGACTTCCTTTGGAAGAGCAGCCCACTGAGAAGGGATTTCTGTCCTACTGCTGCAGGGAAGGGTGCTGGGATGGGGAGCACAGAAAGCCCAGGTGACAAGGGCCAACTGCTGACACTTGGCTTGGGTTCAACAGCTCAAAGGATGACTTGGAGATACATGAGCAGGGCAGAGGGGTGTCCCACAAAGCTGTCTGGGTAGATAGGAGGCAATGTTGTCCTTCCTAACCCCAGCAGGGGCATGCAGAGTAACCCAGGCATGTTACCTAACCTCTCTCTGCTGCTCTTTGTTCAGCAGCAGGATGATCAGTAAGGACTTAACAGAAACAAAACCAAAAAACCCAAACACTGGCATTTTCTCTGAATATGAAAATAATACATGTTCATGGTATAAAATTCAAGCAATGTAGATAAGTATTATGCAGAAACTGGACCATCTGCATGATAACCCCTTTCCCCACAGATAAGAATTCTTGGTATATATTCTGACTGGTTTTCCATGCATCTCCAAAATGTTGATATGATCACTTCATGAAAGTAGAATACTATTTGTAACTTGCTTTTCTTGACTCAGCAGTATCTCGAAGCTCTATCATAATTCATTTGTGGTTACATGGTGTTTCAGAAAAACCTCTCTCAAACCAGGTTTTTCCTCTGCTTTCACACCCCAACAATCATCAACACAGAAGACTGTGACCAGATGTGAGTGGGTTTTTCCCCCTGCAACAAGCAATGGAGACCACTCAGGCGTCTTCTAATTCAATTCTGACACCACTTCCTGGAGATAGCATCAGATCCCACAGGTTGAGGGCTCAGTCCACAAGACTGTATCCCCTTCCCCAGACACCAGCTGCAAGTCCAGATCTCCAGAATGTCTGACCAACCGGCTTCAAGTTGGGGCTCCCACGACTCCTTCTTTGGGTTTGATTAATTTATTGGGACAGCTCACAGAACTCAGGAAAACACTTGGGTTTACTGGTTTATTATAAAGGATTTGCAAAGGATACAGGTGAAGAAAGGTGTAGTGCAAGGCATGAGGAAAGGGGCGTGGAGCTCCTGTGTCCTCCCTGGGCTCACCACCCTCCAGGAACCTCCGCGTGTTCAGCGATGTGGAAGCTCTGCAAACCCAGTCCTCTTGGGTTGTTATGGGAGCTTCATGATGCCAGCATTATTTCACCAGGGTACAAGGCAGGACCCTTTTTGGGGAGGGTCTTAAAACCCACAAAGAGAAAAGGAGGGAAAGATGGGAGTCCTGCTTTGGGGCAGGTAAAAGGAGAGCAGAAGGTCAGAGAGATTCTGTTTCCTGAGGCCTAACACACCCAACATCATAAGACTGTGTAACAAGGGCTATGAGAGTTGTGGGCAGGAGCCATGCATGAAAACCAAGACACATATAACACCACACATGGTATTTCGCTGTGTGGCTAAATCATAATATACTTAACCAGTCCCTTCTGAAAGACACATAGGATGATTTCAATATGCTGCTATTATAAACAGTACTGCAGAGAATATCCTTGCACATAGCTTTTTATCTTTGGGTTGATTTTCTATAGAATATATATATATATATTCCTAGAAGTGGAATTATGAACCAAAGGTTAAATGCATTTTATATATTGTTAGAAATTGCCTAATTAGCCTTTAAAAATGTATCTATTTTTAGCTTGTTGGTGATGATCTTAAATTGGCAACGTGGTGAGGGAGTGTGTTTGGGAGAATCAGGGAGGTGAATGGGTGTGGGGGGACACAGGCTTAGCTGCTTTCCTGACTGTATTGACACCTCCTTGCTGTGAACAAAACTGTGTGGCTGGGTTTGTCTCCTGTAGATATCTAGGGGGCACATGCTTGGGTAATATTTAGAAAGCTCAACTTTTGTCATTTCTCTGGCCAGGGGAGCTGACCACACTCACACCCCTAGACCGAGAAAAGAAGGAGGTGTTCAATCTTGTTGCCAAGGCGACGGATGGAGGTGGCCGATCGTGCCAGGCAGACGTGACCCTCCACGTGGAGGATGTGAATGACAATGCACCACGCTTCTTCCCCAGCCACTGTGCTGTGGCTGTCTTCGACAACACCACAGTTAAGACTCCTGTGGCTGTAGTATTTGCCCGGGATCCTGATCAAGGTGAGTCTGAGAAGGATTGAGGCCATTTCCAATGATTTCCTGGGTCACCTTGGGCAAGGGTTTGGCCCCTTTTGTGTCTCTCTAGGACTGATAATGACCGTGCCTCCTTGTTGAGTTTGTGGACGCTTAACAGTACAAAGTATTTATCCTCAAACTGAACACTAAGTGCTATGTGACAAATGATTTTAGCAATGTGTTGAGGCAGCAGCAAGGTATTTCAGCCTTACTGTTTCTCCCCTTCCGCTTACACCCAGGGACTTTTTCAATACTGCCATTTAGGCATTTAATCATAAATAAACCAATCAGACTTATTCAGTTTTATAATTTTATAATTCAGATAGGGTAATATAAATATTATAAAATTATATATATATATATATATATATATATATATATATATCCTGTCCAATTTTCCTGAGTCAAATTTTATAATTCCGATATGGTTAAAAAAAAAATGCTGTCAGCATCAGAACAGCCAGCACGGGAAAATGATGATGGTAAAAGTGGGACCAAAACACCCTGCTGTGTTTGACAACAGCAGGGTAAAATTAAGATTTTCTAAAGAAAGTGAGTTTCAGCTTGGCATTGAAGGAGGTGAGCTATTCGATGGATGTAGGGGTTCTAGGGAGGGCAGACAGTCAGTACAAAGGCAGGGTAGCTGAACTGGGAAATGTGTGTATATGTTGTGTGTGTGTGTGTGTGTGTGTGTGTGTGTGTGTGGAAGGTAACAAGCACAAGTGGAATAGACTTGCTCAAGATGCAGAAATGGGTTTGATGGGAGAGATCCAAATGCATCAAGCTGGAGTGACCCATAATCCATGTTATCTACCTCTTCATCTGATGGCTGCAAGGCTCTGTAAGTGCTTCATTAACCAATGCTTACATACCTCCAGGGACAGGATGCTCTCTAACTTCTATGCAGCCCCTTCCTTCCATGGTTCCTCAGGCCATTATCAAGTGCGACATCTGTCAGTCCCAGTCCTGCCCTCTGCAATCACACAGATCTCCTAGACACCTCCTAGAGTGGCCTTGTATCAATTTACCATTAATATTTCCAAAATGCTTATTCCAACCCAAATATTTCAGCTAAATAATCCAGGTGTGGCTTGATCAGCATCTCTCTGTCTCTAGAAAAATGACGGTTTCTTCATGTAAGTGCCTATATGGGGAACATGCATGGCATGTGCATTTAACGGATATAAATTCAACTCTTCTCATAGGCAATTCCTGTCACCATTCCACTGAAGAAGTATGTGCTCCATGTGTGTGGGAGATGTGAGACCTCAGGCTCAGGGCTTGTGTTCATCTTACTGGGGGAGGACCTCACAACTGACCCTTAAATGCTCGTGTTTTTCACACACTATGGCCAACTGCTTCATCTGGTACTTAATCAAAGAAAATACGATAATTAGAGACAAAGCTGGAGAAACATTGTGTGTTTTGATTTACTAAGAACTTCCATGGGTGTTTTCTTAACTTTTTATGTTGATGTGATTATAGACTCCATAGGAAGTTGCAAAAATAGGACTGGTAAGGACTGTGTGCACTCTTCATGTGGTTTCCCTAACGGCAACATCTTACATAATAGTAGTATAACATCAAAACTGAAATCTCAGCTGCTTAGGGGGCCGAGGCAGGAGAATAGCTTGAACCAGGGAGGCAGAGGTTGCAGTGAGCTGAGATTGTCCCGCTGCACTCCAGCCCGACCACAGAGCAAGGCTCCATCTCAAAACAAAAACAAAAACAAAATAAAAACAAAAAAAACCCCTGGAAAATTGACATTGGTCCATTGGTCCATTGTTGGTAACTAGACTACAAGGCTTGCTACTCAGATTTCACCAGTTTTTATATGCACTCGTGTGTGTGTGTGTGTGTGTGTGTGTGTGTGTGTGTGTGTGTTTACATGCACACTTAGTTCTATGCAATATTATTCCATGTTTAGATTCTCGCAACCAACACCACAATCAAGACGCAGAACTGTTCTATCTCAGTCAAGGAACTCTCTATGGGTGATTTTATCTGCATATTTTTCCTTGATAAACTGATATTAGACCAAAATCCCCACATCATATTTTCAGATAATTTGGTAGATTTGTACCTCCCTTTCCCCAAAAAACCTTTTAGTGAGCCCTTGGGTCTCCCCGCCCCAGTCAAGACCCCTGCTGGAGAGATCCTCACTCCTAATATACCTGAGCCAGCCTGTCAGCCTTCCAGGGAGCCCCTCCCCGGGCGCTCCTGTGGCTGCAGGGTTTGCTGCAGGCAGGTCCAGAGGAGGCGCCCTCAGTGTGGGTCACACCCTTGGTCTCCCTGCCAGGCCCCAATGCCCAGGTGGTTTACTCTCTGCCGGATTCCGCCGAAGGCCACTTTTCCATCGACGCCACCACGGGCGTGATCCGCCTGGAAAAGCCGCTGCAGGTCAGGCCCCAAGCACCACTGGAGCTCACTGTCCGTGCCTCCGACCTGGGCACCCCAATACCGCTGTCCACGCTGAGCACCGTCACGGTCTCGGTGGTGGGCCTAGAAGACTACCTGCCCGTGTTCCTGAACACCGAGCACAGCGTGCAGGTGCCCGAGGACGCCCCGCCTGGCACAGAGGTGCTGCAGCTGGCCACCCTCACTCGCCCGGGCGCTGAGAAGACCGGCTACCGCGTGGTCAGCGGGAACGAGCAGGGCAGGTTCCGCCTGGATGCTCGCACAGGTGAGAGCCCGAGCCACCGAGCCCCGAAGCGTTGCGTACAGGGTCTCAGGGAGCGCTGGGTTCCTCCGCTGTGGGGCTATCTGCCCCGTGCAGCGCCCCCAGAGCAGACTTCCTCTGGTCGTTTCTCCACTCTCTTCTGTTTCTCTCTGTCCTTTCCCCCAGCTTATATGGGGACCTCCCTTAAAGGGGACCCTCCGACCTCCCCACTCAGGTCTCTGTGTCCAGGACCCTCAACCATCCACTCTCCTTCCACAGTTTGCGGCTTCATGGTCTCAGCTCGGGCCCAGCCAGGAGGCAGAAGCAGCTTGGCTGCAGAGGCAGAAAGCCCTTGCTGGAATCTGGGGCCTAACCAACCCAGGACAAGGCTGCCTGCTTCCCTCCTACAGTCCCCACATCCACCCCAAACATCCTGGCACCCCTGAATTTCCCCTCACTCTCATGAAGAGAGAAAGAACTAGGAAACCTTCTCTCTTCTTTCCTACTAGCCACAGAAGAGTGTAAGTCAGGATCACAGAAACTCACGGAAGCATCTCAGAGGCCACCTAGGTCAGCCTGTGTCTCACACAGATTCCTCCCCATGGTGCCCCTGGAATGGTGCTCTCTACCTCCCCAAACAGCCGTCTTATCACTGAGCCATATATTTTAAAAATTTACTATGGAGATTTTGAACATATTAAAAATAGAATAGTACAATGTGCCCCATGTTCCCACCACCCAGCTTCAGTAATCATCAGCAGAGGCCAGCCTGGTTTCCTCTTTACCCTTCTGTCCCACATCCGTCCAATCCCAGACACTTTGTCATTTCATTTGTAAGGGCTTCAGTGTGTATCTCTGTATAATCAGAACTCTTTTTCTAAACAAAACCACAATACCTTATCACGCCTAAAAGATAATAATTCCTTAATATCACCAGGCCATTTTCCAGATCCTCATAAATGTCTTTTTGAAGTTGCCTTGTTAATATCCCCAAAACGTCTACATATTGCATTTGGTTGATATGCAAGATTTTAAGTGTCCTTAAATCTCTAACATTTCTTTTTCCTCTTTATTTCCCCCTGCCATTTGTTTAATGAAACATTTGAGTCATGTGTCTGATGGAATTGTCCATAGTTTGGATTGGCTGGCTCTTTATAGTGTCATGTAGCATATCCCTCAGGCCCTTGCATTTCCTAGTATGACATTGGGATTAAAGGCCTTGATCAGGTTTAGTCAACAGTGCTTGGTGAACAGTGCTGCATAGATGATGCTATGCTGTTTGTATCATGTCCAGAGGCACAATAAGGGCTAATTGGCTCTTTTTTTTCTGCAGTTAAGATAGGTGGTGAGTTTAGGTGTTGTCAGCCTGACTCATTATGTATAAACATATAGTTATAATTTGGGTATATAAGTCCACTATAGTCTTCTTCATCAGCCTTTCTTCTAATGGTTTTAAAACCTTTGCTGATCATTTTCTAGATAGATATACTTTTTCATGAAGGGCTGTAAAATGGGGATTTTCTAATCCTATTGCTCCTCATTATTTTCTGACTGAATTTTTTATAAAAAGATGTCCATTGGAAAATGATGCTGTCGAAAGAAAAATAAAATAAAACAAAAAGCAGAGTGTCCAACATTAACTATTTGGTTATCCAGGAAAGGCAGCATAAATCCTTGTTCTTTATTTCTTTTTTCCAGTTTTCAAAATAATAACCTATGCCCTAACAATTTGTTGGCAACTTTGAGTTGGGTATTACAAATCTCATTTGATCACCTAAGTTCTGTCATTTACTAGCTGGGTGAGGTTGGGCGAGTCACTTGCCTTTTAGAGCATCTAGATCAATGGACTGACCTAGAAAATAAGAATCACAATTATTCCTGCTCCATAGGGTTTTTATAGATCTCAATGAGATAAATTTAGCATTACATATTTAAATGAGATTTAAATCAAATAGTACAGAAACAAGTGAGGGAAACACTGCTGTTAGGAATGAGAATAAGGAAAATGAGGGAGATGAGGGGAAAGGGAACAGCAAAGGGAGATGGACAGGAAGATAGCGGACAACACTCACCTTGCCGAGCTCTGTTGAGCTGCCTCTCCTAGGGCTGGGCTCAGACCCTCAGTCCTGCGCCTTTGAAGCCCCAACTGTCTCACTGCTCCTGTCACCTCTTGCTTCTTCAGGGATCCTGTATGTCAATGCGAGCCTGGACTTTGAGACAAGCCCCAAGTACTTTCTGTCCATTGAGTGCACCCGGAAGAGCTCCTCCTCCCTCAGTGACATAACCACAGTGGTGGTCAACATCACTGATGTCAACGAACACCGGCCCCGATTCCCCCAAGATCCATATAGCACAAGGGTCTTAGAGAATGCCCTTGTGGGTGACGTCATCCTCACGGTAAGGCTCTGCCACCTTGCTCTTTGTGGGGCACGAACTCTAGGCTGGGTTCTTATCTCACCCCCAACACCCAGCCATCTGTGAGCATGGATTAGTTTATTAATTTAACACACTGTAGATTTGACTCTGACTTGTCAGAGGTTTATGTGAGATTTGAGTATGGTCAAACCATACTCGGTCAAACTATCTCTCATGAGAGAATGTCTCAGAGCCATATGATAAGATCAGAGACTGACAGAATGGGGCGTTGGATAGGTGAGGCTTGTTAGGAGAAGAGAGAAAAGAGACAGACCCCAGAGGGACTGCCAGAGACTCCCAAGTCTGGGAAGGGCCTGGTCATCGCGGGTGACATGGAATGACAGTTGGGGGTGGGGCAGGGGCTGAGGGGACATTAACTAATACCTTTTTCATTTAAATACGCAGTAGCTCTCTCATTCAATGGAGCGATGTCCACCCACACACCCACATTCCCACACAATTCGTCCCACCTTCCAGTCTCCTCTACCTCCACTCCCCGATATGGTGCACCCTATGCTCCAACCACACAGGAATATGTACCTTTCCCCAGAACATCGTCTGTACTTCCGCACCCTGGGCTCACACTATTTCCTCTGCCTGGAATGCCTGCTCCAGCCCCAAAAGCACTCCTGAGCCTTCAGGTCTTCATGAATCCTTTTCTAATCTCCCCAGTGTAATGTATCACTCTGTGCTCTGTGCTCTCATAAGGCTGATCATACTCTACCCCAAATTAGAATTACCCATAAAATTAGGCATTAAACTTTCTGCAGGAATATTTGTTTTAGCACATTCCTCACCTACTAGGACAGGGCCTAGCATACTATTAGCAAGAGTGAACAAGTGAATGAATGAATAAACCATGGCATGCTGAATTCCATGCTAGGATGTAAGTGAAGAGATTTCTTTGGCAGGGATGACTGTGATCCAGGTATTGCCAGCTCAAAGGGGCAGGGACATATCTGTTTCCTCTTACATTCCCAGGGATCAAGATCCTGTCCCTCCATTCACAATCCCCCTACCCTCCTGCAGGTATCAGCGACTGATGAAGATGGACCCCTAAATAGTGACATTACCTATAGCCTGGTAGGAGGGAATCAGCTTGGGCACTTCGCCATTCACCCCAAGAAGGGGGAGCTACAGGTGGCCAAGGCTCTGGACTGGGAACAGGTGAGTCATGTGGGAGGGGCCCAACCTGAGCTCATCAGAGCAGCGACACAGTCCCAGGCATCCAGAAGTTGAATCGCAGTCAATACCTCATCCTGAAACTTCCTCAGACCTGCCCAGAATGTCTCTCACTTGTTTTCTCTGCGAGGCCTCCGTGGACTGTGTGGCCAGAGGCAGGAGAGGGACTGAGTGACCCGTAACCTTCCACAGAGGATCTCAGGTGGCTTCTCACAATTGAGTAGAGATCATTGGATCATTATAAAATAGCCACATTTTTGAGCACCTACTGTGAGCTAGACACTTTCCTAAATGCTTTAAAAGGATTTATGCCATTTGATCCTCAAAATAATTTAAGGAAGTGCATCCTGACATTACCCTCACATAAAATCATTCAATTTCCCAAGGTCTCATTGCAAGCAAATGATTGAGCAGGGAATCACAGCTATTTCTGACTCCAGAACCTAAGCCCTAAAATGCCATGGGTGGGCAATGAGGGTGGGCATAGGGAAGTGTCTCCAACTTATTTTTCTGAAAATGTTAGTGATGACTCAAGGGGCAGAAGAAGGGACAACCACTTCATTGCTAACCTCCAGTGGGCATTCTGCAATAGGCCTCTAGCTATTCCCTGAAGCTCCGAGCCACAGACAGCGGGCAGCCTCCACTGCATGAGGACACAGACATCACTATCCAAGTGGCTGATGTCAATGATAACCCACCAAGATTCTTCCAGCTCAACTATAGCACCACTGTCCAGGTAAGCTTGAGCCACCAAGGCACCCGAAGCCCTTCCTCCCTTCATTTCCCTACTAGCAGAAGGTGCTCTTCAGTGGTGTTAGTCCACATGAACAATGGCTGTGACCTTGACACTGATGTCCCCAAGGCAACAAAGACTGCTGTAGGACATTATAGACTTGAAAGGAATCAGGCACTGTGTTAGGCACTTCCATATCTATTACCTCATTTGAGGCTCATAACAGCCATATGAAGTAGGTAGTGCCCATTTTACAGATTTAGAAGATTGAGGTAAAACAAAAACAAAAACAAAAACATGCCACAGCTAGAACGTGGCAAACTTGGAATTTAACACTAGGGTTTTTTTTTTTTTTTTTCCAGAACCCAAGCTCTTCCCTACCAATGATTTACAAATAGGATTTGAAGAGGGCCTTGGGATTCTATGAGTAGCTTTCAGGGCCATAAAGGGTGAGGGAGGTGAGGAAGTGAATAAAAAGGCAGAGTTCTGGGTCCCACTATGCATCACCTAGGGTTGTTCCACTTCTACCTGTTTTATATATTATGGGCATGGGTTAGGATGCTTGGCTGCAAATAATAAGTTACCTGACTAAAAATACTTTTTCTGAGAATATCCCCAGTCCACATCTGAACAAAAGCAGGACTTTGTAAGAAAGCAAGAGAGAGCGTCTGTTGGATAGGCACCGATCAGTTTCTGCCCATTAGATTCTGTTTGTAGATAACATTGTGATGCCAAAAAGTTAACAACCATTACGTTATAATATACTAAATTCCCATGTTATGCAAACAGAGGCTAAAATGAGACTCAGGGAATCTGGTTTTTCCTAAATTTTTACTCATCTTTAAGTGCATTTATCAGAAGCATATGATATGCAGGTCTTCTAAGGAAGAAACCATTTGTAAGTATTCAGTTGGCTTTGGAAATCACAACATTCCCTTACTATCTCAGGGAATAACTAACTTAAGTACACGATTCATCAGTGTGTGATCTTGGGCAAGTCATCTCTCTATAGAATAAAGGGTTTAATCTTAGATCTCTAAGAATCCTTTCAGCCCCAATGGGCTGTGTTTCTGAGACCAAACACTGCCCTCAGGGAGCTCCTGATCTAGACAAAAAAGTCACAACTACCTCGAAGGCAGGCAGAATGAATGAGCAGCAGTTTGATGTCCAGGCACTGTCTACAAGCAGTGTGCCAAGGACTCATTCCAGATGATGGACCCAGACAGGTGCAAAGGAAGGACCAGGACTCATTTTGCTCTTTGGTTTCCCGTCACTCTTGGTCTCAGGAGAACTCCCCCATCGGCAGCAAAGTCCTGCAGCTGATCCTGAGTGACCCGGACTCTCCAGAGAATGGCCCCCCCTACTCGTTCCAAATCACCAAGGGGAACAATGGCTCTGCCTTCCGAGTGACCCCAGATGGATGGCTGGTGACTGCTGAGGGCCTAAGCAGGAGGGCCCAGGAGTGGTATCAGCTTCAAATCCAGGTGAGAGCTGTGCTAGGCTTCTGGTGGTGACCGCAGGGACAGTAAAGATTCTGGCAAAAGCCCTACCAGTGCTCCTTTTTTGTTTGTTTTTGAGATGGAATTTCACTCTTTGTTGCCCAGGCTGTAGTGCAATGGTGCAAACTCAGCTCACTGCAACATTCGCCTCCTGGGTTAAAGTGATTATCCCATCTCAGCCTCTCCAGTAGCTGGGATTACAGGCACGCACCACCACGCCTGGCCAATTTTGTATTTTTAGTGGAGATGGGGTTTCACCATGTTGGCCAGGCTGGTCTCGAACTCCTGACCTCAGGTAATCCACTTGCCTTGGCTTCCCAAAGTGCTGGGATTACAAGCGTGAGCCGCTATGCCTGGCCATCCGGTGCTTCTATCATTAGGGAAAACAATGTAGAAAGCACTTAGGATGCATCAGGCACTGGGCTAGGTGCAGTTCAATTGCCTTTGCAAATTGCAACATCCTCATAACACTCTTAGGGCAGGTATAGTTACCACCCACTTTATAGATGAGGAAACTGAGGAACACAGAGGATTTAAGTGACTTGCTTAAAGTAATACCGGCAATAAGTGGCAGAGATGGGTTGCTTCAAACCTAAGCACTCTGGCCCCAGAGTCCAACCTCTTAATCTCTGCTCTATGCCTCAGCAAAACACTCTGGCTGTAGCTCTTAGAGCTTAGCCAGAACAGCTCTCTGAACTTCAGGAGCTAAAAAAGCCTACCTCCGAGAACTGGCGTGGGGCCCAAGTGCGATTTTGTGTGTACATGTGGAGGGTTGTATAGGAATTGCTAAGGAACAGTGGCCAAGATGGTGGTCAAATATCTCTCCCTCACTTCATTCCCCCAAATCCCTTTCCTAAATCTCAACTCCCGTGGACCCTACTATTCTGTGAATTTATGGGCTGGGAATGATGCATTCATTCTTTAAGTCACTCCATCTCACAACAAGTATTTATTGAGTACCTACTACATACGAAGGCTTTTGCAAGCTGCTGGGAACACAGCAGAGGGTAAGGAGGAAATGGTTCCTGTCTCCAGGGGCTTTCAGTTGTAATCATGGAGATAAACAATAAACAGGCGAAGAAGAAATAACATCCTTACATACGATGATATGGAAGTAAAGTGATGAGAGACTCATAAGACAGGAGGATACACATTCAGAAGGAGGCTGCCCCCAGGAGGTGACAGTTGAGCAGAGGGCCGAGCTACCAACCATGTGAAAAGTGGGCAGGAGAGTCTTCCAGGGAGGAAGAACAACATGAGCTGGGAAAGAGCCTGAAGTAGCTTGAGGTGTGGCTGAGGTGCTCAGAACATCATGAGCAGGGATGAGAATGAGGATGAGGATAGGCTGGGCAGAGCGTGGGGGCCTTGTGGCTTGGGTGACTGTATTATCTGAGGTCCAAACTGTGACCTTTTGAGAGTGAGAGAAGCACTGATTTAGTCCATTTGGGCTGCTACAACAGAATACCATAGGCTGGTAGGCTTAAAGAACAGAAATTTATTTCCCACAGTTCTGGAGGCTGGAAGTCCAAGATCAGGGTGCCAGCATGGCTGGGTTCTGGTGAGTGTCCCCTTCTGGACTGCAGACTGCCAGCTTCTCATTTTATGCTCACATGGCTCTTCTCATAAGGGCCATAATCCCATTTGAGGGCTCTACCTCCAAATAGGATTACATTGGGGATTACATTTTAACATATGAATTTTGAGGGGACACAAACATTCAATCCAAAACAGGCAGTAAAACTAATACTTGGTGATAGTTGATTCGCAAGAGGTAAAAATCAAGACTGTCCTTGACAAGCCAGGGCATCTAATCAGCTAAGTGTATGTCTTGGTAACACTTTTAGATTCTAATCTGAGTACAATGAGAGGTGGTTGAAGGGTTTCAGATAGAAAAGGGATCCTTTTTGTGTCTCAGAAAGCTCATTTTTCAAGCTCTATAGAGTGGGTGAGGGAGACCAATGGGAAGTCATCCAAGCTGGAGATAGTGGTGCTGAGACCTTGGGGTGATGGAGAAGATGCAGGAAGTAGACAGATTTGGGACAGATTTTGCATGTAAATAGGCAGGAGTTGGTGGAGTGGATGTGGGAACAGAAAGAAAAGTGAAGATTCAGGAATGATTTCTAAATTGCTGGCTCCAGTGAAGACTTGGGTGGTAGTGCATGCGTGAGACTGGAAAGGCCCAAATGGGAAGGCAGGACAGGTTTATGGTCTAAACCAAGGCTCTGTTTTGCATATTATCTCCCAACTGTTTGTGAGACATCCAAGTGGAGGTCTGGGAATGGGTAGCTGGGAATGGGAGGGGATAGGTGGATGGCCCTCGAAGCCAAGAGCATGGATGTGATTGCCTAGAGAGAGATGAGAGAGAATGGCTTCCTGACCTCTGTATTCTCAGACCCAGGCCAGGCCCCGGCCTAGACAGGTGCTTAGTAAAGACTGGCATCATCACCATCAATTGCATTTGTCCCGTATTTCCACTCCCATGCACTAGGAAGCACCACAGGCCAGCAAAGAAAAACACAGGCTACGGACACAGATAGGTATTCAGATTCTGCTCAGGCCTTACCTGCTGTATGACCTTGGGCAAGTTACTTCACCTCTCTGAGTCTCAGTTATATCTTTGGTAGAGTGGGTGACTTAATAGTACCTATCTCATAAGAAAGATAAATCATGATAATGCATTTAAAGCATCATAGTTTATGATAATGACTAGCACATGGTTTGTACTGAGTTAATGTTAGCTACGCATTATATATAATCAGTAGTAGTATTGTTGTAGCTAATGTTAGCTATACATTATAATTAGTAGTAGTGTTGGCCAGGTGTGGTGGCTCAAGCCTGTAATCCCAGCACTTTGGGAGGCTGAGGTGGGCAAAACCCCATCTCTACTAAAAATACAAAAATTAGCCACATGTGGTGGCACGTGCCTGTAATCTCAGCTACTCAGGAGGCTAAGGCAGGAGAATCGGTTGAACCTGGGAGGCGGAGGCTGCAGTGAGCTGAGTCTCCACTGCACTCCAGCCTGGAAAGCAGAGCAAGACTTCATCTCAAAAAAAAAAAAAGAAAAAAAGAAAGAAAGAAAATTAGTAGTAGTGTTAATTATTGTTGTTGCTATTGCTATCTTTTCAGTGTTATGCACAACTTCCAGCAATAAGTGTAATCTTACAACATTCTTGCGTATGAAAAGTGTTGGAGTGTATGTGAACAAGATGTTACGACAGGGAAAATTGTGGAGACCCTTGTTGACAGTGGAGGGAGCAATAACATCACTGAGGAGAGGAAGGCAAGCTTGTCCTTTCTAAGTCAGGCAGGAAGTTGCAGGGACGTATGGTGAAACATGAAAGGAAAACGCACTTTTCATTTACATTCTTTTCCCTACTTAAGTATGGTCCTGTCACCCGCATGGCCTCTCACAGTTCTGGCATAAACTGCAACCCTGCGTGCGCCAGCCGTGCCTCCCTGCCCACCTGCTCCAGCACCCGTGTCCTGTCTATGCTGCTGAACACATCGCCTTCATTCCTACCCAGGGACCTTCCACTTGCTGTTCCCTCTATCACCTCTTCTCATCCCTTCTCATCCCTCAGAACTCAAATGTCCCTCCGCAGAGACTCCTTCCCTTTTAATCTGATCAAAGTGAGTCTCTGTTTATTTCCTTCACAGCACTTTATCCAAGTTATTTGGTAACTTATTGCCTCTTTTCTCCTGGCCCCAGCAGGAGACTTTGTTGACTGACCAGAGGAACAATTCCCACTCCCACACTAATCACAGAGCAAAAGGGAATCCCAACGAGAACTTTCTTAGGCTGAGCAGGGTGCATGGTGCATCAGAATCGCTGAGATATCTGAGGGCACACTTGAGGAGAGGGACAGAATGAGAAAGTTCATGAGGAAGTTAGCCCAAGTCTATGGCTGGAGAGATTTAGGAAGAGGCTCAGAGAGCCTAGTGTCAGATGAGGAAACTGCATTGTTTTACTGCACGGTATAGTATGTAACTCCCTCCTTCATTCTTTACAAAACCTTCAGAAAATCTTTATCATATGTCAGTGCTTTTGGAGTTAGATTTTTTTTCTAAATGCGACAACGCACTGAGTCAGCCCTCAAGTTGGATGTGGGGCAGACAGACATGGCTCCGCAAAAAGGTCCAGCCTCAGTCGGGCCCAAGAGCGCTGCAGTTCCGTTAGGTGACAGCAGTGTTTGTCTTGCCCACAGGCATCAGACAGTGGCAACCCTTCCCTCTCGTCTTCCACGTCTGTCCGTGTACATGTCACAGAGAAGAGCCACTACGCACCCTCTGCTCTCCCACTGGAGATCTTCATCACTGTCGGGGAGGAGGAGTTTCAGGGTGGCATGGTGGGTAAGATCCATGCCACAGACCGGGACCCCCAGGACATGCTGACCTACAGCCTGGCAGAAGAGGAGACCCTGGGCAAGTACTTCTCGGTGGGTGCGCCCGATGGCAAGATTATCGCCGCCCAGAGCCTGCCTCGTGGCCACTACTCTTTCAACGTCACGGTCAGCGATGGGACCTTCACCACGACTGCTGGGGTCCACGTGTATGTGTGGCATGTGGGAAGGGAGGCTCTGCAGCAGGCCGTGTGGATGGGCTTCTACCAGCTCACCCCCGAGGAGCTGGTGAGTGACCACTGGCGGAACCTGCAGAGGTTCCTCAGCCACAAGCTGGACATCAAACGGGCTAACATTCACTTGGCCAGCCTTCAGCCTGCAGAGGCCGTGGCTGGTGTGGACGTGCTCCTGATCTTTGAGGGGCATTCCGGAACCTTCTATGAGCTCCAGGAGCTGGCATCCATCATCATTCACTCAGCCAAGGAGATGGAGCATTCAGTGGGGGTTCAGATGCGGTCAGCTATGCCCGTGGTGCCCTGCCAGGGGCCAACCTGCCAGGGTCAAATCTGCCATGACACAGTGCACATGGACCCCAAGGTTGGGCCCACGTACAGCACCGCGAGGCTCAGTATCCTGACCCCACGGCACCGCCTGCAGAGGAGCTGCTCCTGCAATGGTGAGCACAGCATCTTCCCAAGGGATGAGCAGCAGTGCTGGGCTCAGCCCACCTGACTCTAAGCATGCAGATTCCACCGAGGTGCTGTAGGAGAGTTCAGGGAAGTTGCAATAAGGCCAAAGGCCACCGATCACCATAAGACAGGTAGTGGCCTCACAAAATCTAGTTATGGAATAATATCCAATTCTCAGCTCCTTTTCGAGATTAAGAAAATAACAATAAGAATACAATATGCAGTTTAACATCATGGCTACGAGCATAGGCTGTGGCTTCAGGCCTCATGGGTTAAAATCCCAACTCTACCACTTACTAACCAGGTGACTTTAAGAAAATCACTTCACCTCTCTGTGCCTTTGAGCTGGGCTGTGGTAGTAATTAAATCAGCACTATATATCAAGTGCTTGCTTAGAACAGTGTCTAATGCATAGAAAGTGCTCAATAAACGTGAGTTACTAATACTCCTACTACTATTACCAGAGTCTGCTGGTTATAAGCTCAAGGTTTAGACTCAGACAGCTCAGGTTCAAACCCTAGCTCCATCAGTCACGAGCTGTGTAACCTTGGGTGTGTTGTTAAAACCCTCTGAGCTTTTTAGTTTCCCATCTATAAAACAGTGAAAACCATAACATCCACCTCCTGGAGTTGGTTTGGGGGGTAAATTACATAATAGTTACAAAAGCACTTAACCCATGGCTGGCCCATACTAAGCCCCAGATCAATGGTCACTCATTCCCATGGTAGCAGTTGTTGCTATAAGGAGCCTGCTGTATGCCAGGCTCTGTGTAGGTGTCACCTAAACTAACGGGCCCCACAGCCCTAAAAGCAGGGTTGTCAATCTCGTCTGCAGTTGAAACTGAGATATGAGATTTAGTTTGCTTGCAACTGTACAGCTTCCAGTGAGGGCCTGGTTATTCAAACATCTGTGTGTCCCACTCTAAAGCCCGAACGCTTCATAAGCTCTTTAGGCACTCCATTTTCTAGCAAGACTCACCTAGCACCCCTGGCATGAAGACCAAGGGAGCAGCTCAGGAGCATTGGCTAAAGGAAAGTGACATGGCCTTCAGCTCACCAGCGCCCTTGCTTGGCCTGCCCTGCCCTGCCCTTTATGGGTCCAGCCTCCTGGCATTCTGGATATTCTTTCTCAGAAGATTTGTGGACTTTGCCCAGGGACCACTCGATTTAGGCTGGAAGGGCTTCTCTCTGTTGGGGAGGGGATTTCCTTCTATATGTCTCTTGCCCCAGAACCTGCTACAGAGAAAGCCAAGATGGCTGAAGGGTCTCTCTTGGCCACCTGGCATCAGATAGCAGGGGTTCCAAAATTCAAGATTTTGCAAAGTCTCCTGGAGAGTGTGATTTTAAAGAGACATGCTCCTGGGTGTCGCCTCTAGAGGTTTTTACGTAGAAGGTCCTGAGTGAGTCCTAGAGGTGGCATTTAATTATGAAGCAGCAGGTACAAGGGCTTGCATTGAAGAAATACTAGAAAAATTCGCTGATCACCAGAATCAGTTGCAAAGAGGTTTTTTATTTTATTTTTTAACATTTCAGTGAAATGTAAAACATACAGGAAACCAATTCATGTACCATAACTACACACCTCAAACAATTTTTATAAAGCAAATATACCTGTGTAGCCAGCACCCAGATCAAGAGAAGAATATGACTAATATCTCAGAAGCCTCCCTTGGCACCCCCCTTCCAGTTGTTACACCCATGATGGTAATATTTTTAAAATACATATTTCCATGTGCTGCCCAGAACTACTGAATCAGACTCTGAGAGGAGAACTTAGGATTCTGTGTCATAAAGACTCTCCAGCTGCTCCTGATATCCCCCGAGGTGTGGGAATTTCTGATCTAGATCATCTTCAATATCACATACAATAAGTACCCACTACAATGAAATTGCCAGTGTCAGGGAATTTTGTACTTCTTTGGATTTTTTTTTTTTTTTTTTTTTTTTTGAGATGGAGTCTTGCTCTGTCCCTCAGGCTGGAGTGGCGTGATCTCAGCTCCCTGCAACTTTTGCCTCCTAGGATCAAGCGAGTCTCCTGCCTCAGCCTCCTGAGCAGCTGGAATTACAGGCAAGCACCATCATGCCTGGTTAATTTTTGTATTTTTAGTAGAGACAGGGTTTCACCATGTTGACCAGGCTGGTCTCAAACTCCTGACCTCAGGTGATCCGCTTGTTTTGGCCTTCCAAATTCTGGGATTACAGGTGTGAGCCACTGCATCCGGCTGGAATCTGTGGATGTTATAATCCCTTGTGCCTCATCCTGACTGGTTCTTCCTTCTCCTCCTTTTGGCCTTTGTTCTCTGTCTTCAACAATTCCTCTTTGCTAGGTATCTGGAGGCTGGACCGCTCATCCTTGTACCCTGACAACCGATAATCTTATTCACACTGGGGTTTTGGGGATTTAATAGCTGGACTCACTTCCGGGGAGGGTGGATTTTTTAAGATCTGGGGAGGGCAGTGCTTCCCAAAGAGGGTTCCACAGAATGCTCTTCCCAAGGGGGGTCCACGTAAGGGTGTACCACAGTCAAAGAAGCTTAAGAAACTGAAGTTTACTCCATAATATGCAGCTGTACATTAGCCATTGCTAAGGCAGGATGGAGGATGCCAGACTTTACAGAAGTTTTGGCCATGCAGTCTATCACTACCTGCCTCTTTATCATAGCAGCATTTTATTGTTTACCTAAATGATTAGCTCCCGCTGATATAAGGAGATACCCTGAAGCAAAAACCTTTGGGGGTCTAAAATCACACATAAATGCAAAATCTACATTCCCAAGTGATGCCAGAAATAACACGGAAACTATGTAGGATAAAAACTTTAATTTTCACACACTTGATTCGTTATATTTCTGGCCTGATTTTTGCTTTCCTTTAAAAAACATTATTATTATTATTATCATTAGAGATGTGGTCTCCATCTGTCACCCATGCTGGAATGCAGTGGCAAGATCATGGCTCACTACAGCCTTGACTTCCTAGCTCAAGTGATACTCCTACCACAGCTGAGAGGATGTAATTCCAAGTAACTGGATTTGTAGGGATGTGGCATCATGACTGGCTATTTTTACTTTTATTTTATTTTTTAGAGATGAGGTCTTGCTCTGTTGCCCCAGCTGGTCTCGAACTTCTGGGTTCAGGTGATCCTCCCACCACAGCCTCCCAAACTGCAGGGATTATAGGCATGAACCATCGCATCTGGATGACTTTTGCTTTCTTAATGGTTTAATGTTCATATTCTTGACCCAGGCTGGGACCTAAGGCAGGGGTCCCTGCAGCCAACGGAAGGTAGGGAGATGGCTCTTGTCTGGCTCTATTTGTGAGACCGGAAAGGTTTGACACAACTGGTACCCAGCCTAGTTTCTTCATGTATAAAATATGAGCAATGACTTTGCCACCCAAGGACTGAATAAGACAAAGTCAACCCAAGGGCTCAGTGGGGACCACTGCAAGTGGAAGTGACAGCTTCGGTTGCTTTCTCAGGTACAGCTGCAAGGTTCAGTGGTCAGAGCTACGTGCGGTACAGGCCCCCAGTGGCTCAGAACTGGCACATCAGTTTCTACCTGAAAACACTCCAGCCACAGGCCACTCTCCTATTCACCAATGAAACAGCGTCCATCTCCCTGAAGGTAAGGCACTGCCAGCACTCCTGGCCTCATATGGGTGTCCCAGGCTGGGGAGGTAGGGGTGCAGCATTAGGAATGCAAGGAAGCCCACTTGTGGCAAAGAAATCCCTACACAGTTTTAAGGGATTCTGGGTGTGACTGTTGGGCCACATGACTGACCCGTCCTGGATGGCCACAGCCACCCAACCTGGAGATATACGTCCAAGGACAACCACAAGTGGTGCTGCTTGCTGTGTGAGGTAAGATGGAAATGAAGATGGATGAGGTCACCTATCCCTGGTGCCGTTACCACTTCTGCTGAGTAATAGGCCAGTGTTTCCCAGGGAGTGGGGGATGGCCTACCACTGTGGGTTCCCAAAATGACAAATCCATGAAGTCACATGGAATCACATGGAAGAAAAATAAATTTTCTTTATAATAATCATTCAGTCCTTTGGATTATGTCATGTAGAAGGTCACAGTCTGCCTATCTAATTTTAACACCTGTATCATGTGCCAGTTAACCATTTCTTTTTTTTTTTTTGAGACACAGTCTCTCTCTGTTGCCCTGGCAACAGTGCAGTGGTGTGATTTCAGCTCACTGCAACCTCTGCCTCCTGGGTTCAAGCAATTCTCCTGCCTCAGACTCCTGAGCAGTGGGGATTACAGGCACATGCCACCATGCCTGGCTATTTTTTGTCTTTTTTTTAGTAGAGATGGGTTTTTGCTATGTTGGCCAGGCTGGTCTCGAACTGACCTCAGGTGATCTGCCTGTCTCAGCATCCCAAAGTGCTGGGATTACAGGTGTGAACCACCACACCCGGCCCCAATCTACTATTTCAGCAAAGAGAAAGCCAACTTTGGCCACTAGATTTTAATTCATTCGATACAGATTTATTGAGCATCTACTATGTGGTAGGCACTGTTCTAGGTGCTTGGGTCTCATCAGTGAAAAAGACAGAAATCTCTTTTAAAGCTTTCATTTTATGGAGGAGAGACTGACAATAAACATAAACATGATAACTCAGAAAATTACAGAATTTTTTCAAATTTGATAAGTATTATGAGCAAAAGGGAAAAACTGGATAAAGGGCATCGGGGGTGAGAAGAGTTGCAGATTGATTGATTGGTTGGTTGAGACAAAGCCTGTCCACTCTGTCGCCCAGGCTGGAAGGCAGTGGCATGATCTCGGCTCACTGCAACCTTGGCCTCCTGGGTTCAGGTGATTCTCGTGTCTCAATCTCCAGAGTAGCTGGGATTATAGCTGTGCATAAACATGCCCTCTATTTTTTGTTTGGTTTTGTTTGTATTTTTAGTGGAGACGAGGTATCTCCATGTTGGCCAGGCTAGTCTCGAGCTCCTGGCCTCATGTGATCCGCCCACCTTGGCCTCCCAAAGTGTTGGGATTACAGGCATGAAACATCACATCCAGCCAGAGTTACAATTTTACAATTTTAAATAAAGTGGCCAGGGAGGGTTTCATTGAGTTAATAATTGAGTAATAATTTGGTGAGTGTGAGAAAGTTAGCTCTATGGACATCTGGAGGGAACAGCATTCTAGTTAGAGGAAACAGCAATGCAAAAGCTTTTTTGGCAGGAGAATGCTAAGCATTTTTAAATGATGGCTTGGAGTTCTACCTGCTCCAGTGAAGTGAGTAAAGGGAACAGTAGGAGGAGGAGTTTGTCAGAGGTGTAAAGGGATGGGGCGTATCTACGAAGGTCTTGTAGGACATTGTAAGAACTTTGGCTTTTATTCTGAACAAAATTGAGGCATTAGAAGATTTTGAGAAGATAATTGCAATGATCTGATATACAGGGTCATCATGGCTTCTTTGTTGAGAATCAACTTTAGAGAAACAAAGATAGGAGCAGAGAGACCCAGTCAGGAGGCCATTGCTATAATTTGGATCAAAGAGGATGGTGGTTTAGACCAGGATGATGACAAAGGAATTGGAAAGATGTCAGATTCTGCAAAGATTTTGAAGGCAAAGCCAACAGGATTTCCTTTAAGTGAAGGGTGGGAGAGAATGCAAGGAGTGAGATTTTGGCCTGGGATACCGGAAGAATGGAGTTTGCGCCGGCAAGCCTGGGGAAGGGTAGGGGTGGATATAAGGTCTGGGGAGGGGAGATCAGGGTGAAGTTTTGGATGTGTAAGTTTCAGATGCCCGTTAGACCTCCGAGTGGATCTGGAAGGACAAGCCTAACGTTGTGAGGTGTCGAGGCTGGAGATGGTGATCTGGGAGTCTTCAGCGTATACATGGTACTGAAAGCCATAAGACGGGAGGAGACCATCAAGCAGTGCAGATGGAAAAGAGAGTAGGCCAAGGATTACTCTTTGAGACCCTCCAGCATTAGCAGGTCTGAGGGAAGAGGGGGATTCAATAAAGGAGATTGAACATGAGCAACCGGTGATGTTGTAGGAAACCCAGGGAGTATCATATGTAGGAAGCCAAGTGAAGAACACGTATCAAGAAAGAAGGAGTGATCTGCTGGGTGATCTGCTGCTGAGAGGCCAGTAAGATGGGAAGTGATTTGGCAGCACAGAAATCACTGAATCCCCTGACACCAGTGGTTTCCATTTATGGTAGGTTGGGGTGCAATTTTGCCGAAAGGAGAGAGCAAAGAAGGAAAATATATGGCTGGAAAATTGAAGTGAAGACAATCTTTTTAAAAAAATAAAGATTATCATCTGTAAAGAAGGTATATTTTTGACAGTAAAGATTAGAGCAGTAACAGCATATGTGTATGCTGTGGAATGATTCAGTAATGAATGAACAAAGATGTAGGAAAGAGGATGGAGAATCAGTAGAGCCTTGAGGAGGTGAGGGGGTGGAATCTAGTGAATAAATGGAGAGATTGGATTTAGCTAAGATGGATAGATGTGATGGTGAAAGTGCCTGCCCATTCCCATAGGATGTGAGATGATCAGCTGAGAGTGGGGATGGGGAGGGAGGCAGACCTAGTGAAAACAGTCATCTGGAAAAGTAGATGGTCTCAGGAAGAGAGTGTGATTGCTGGGCAGCATTAAAGGTTCATTTGAGACCCATGGTCATGAAATTAAAGAGATACCCATGAGCAAGGCTGCATGTGTTTCTCCAGGCATGTTCTGCTCCATATCTGTATAGAGCAGGTGGAGAGTCAGATTTTTCCATAGTTGTGGGTTTACCAAGTGAGTTCTATGAAGTAAGAAAGAGACAGGTCAAGGGTATGTGCATGCCTGTAATCCTAGCACTTTGGGAGGCTGAGGCTGGTGGACCATCTAAGGTCAAGAGTTCGAGACCACCCTGGCCAACATGGTGAAACCCTGTCTCTACTAAATATACAAAAATTAGCTGGGCCTGGTGGTGTGCACCTGTAATCCCAGCTACTCAGGAGGCTGAGGCAGGAGAATCACTTGAACTTGGGAGATGGAAGTTGCAGTGAGCCTGTATTGCACCACTGTACTCCAGCCTGGGTGACAGAGGGAGACTCTGTCTCAAAAAAAAAAAAAAGAAGTGAAGGAAGTAGTTAGGATGATGGACTGTGGAACTTAAGCTGGATAAGGAGAGGAACAAGGACATTACAGAGATGGGAGACAGTGAAAAGACGGTGGGATCAACAGATTTCTGGTCCGAGGCAGATAAAAATACATTATTACTTGAGTTGCATTCATTTTTGTTATCCCTCTTTTTAAATGGCAAGTGTGCTGTTTTCTATTTACCCTAATAGTATTGTCTCCTTTTAAAGTAAATAAAGGTATAGGTAGTATTCAACCAGGGCAAAAATCTGAGAGGTGGTGTACAGATGGCCAATGTGTAGGAAACACTGGGTTAGATCTTCAAATTCAACAGAGAAAACCCTACCTAGCCCAAAGTCACCAGAAAAGTATTTGGCCACAGGCAGTCCTACCTCTTGGGAATGAAGTGAATTAAAATGTTTTAACACAGTGGTTCTCAGATATTTTTACTTCAGGACTTTTTATACTCTTGCAAATTATTAAGGATTCCAGGGAAGTTTTGTTTATGTGGCTTATAACTATCAGCATTTTCAGTATTAGAAATTGAAACTGAGACACTGAAAAATATTTATTAATTTATTTAGAAATAATAAGAAACTCACGTTAACATAAATACAATAATTAATTAATTGATTTTTTTCTTTCAATTTTTAGTTTAAGTTCGGGGGTACATATGCAGGTTTGTTATATGGATAAACTGATGAGTCATGGGGGATTGGTGTACACATTATTTCATCACCCAGAGAATAAGCATAGTACCTGATAGATAATTTTTTGATCCTTACCTTCCTCCTACCCTCTAGCCTCAAGTAGGCCCTGTTACCCATTGTTCCCTTCTTTGTGTCCATGTGTACTCAGTGTTTAGCTCACACTTGTAAGTGAGAACGTGCAGTATTTGGTTTTCTGTTCCTGTGTTAGTTTGCTTAGGATAATGGCTGCCAGCTCCACCCATGTTGCTACAAAGGACATAATCTCATTCCTTTTTATGACTATATAGTAGTCCACAGTGTATCTGTACCGTATTTTCTTCATCCAGCCCACTTGTTGAGCATTTAGGTTGATTCCATGTCTTTGCTATTGTGTGAAAAGTGCTGCAATCAATATATGAGTGCATGTCTTTAATTACCACATTTTTATGAAAGATTATTACTTTCCAAAATGAAAGGGAAGAGTGGCATTGTTTGACTTTTTTTTTTTTTTTTAGTTTGCAAGCCCCTCTTTTGTCTGGCTTAAGAGAAGATCACTGGCTTCTTATATTCACTTCTGCATTCATCAGTCGTGATAACATGTCTGTAAAACTCTGTTGTATACTTGTGAGGAAACAAAGATAAAAAAGGCAAATCAACTCTTAGGATTACTATAAAAATACTTTGCTCTTGTGGCTCCCCTGATAAGGTTTTGGGGACCTATTTTGAGTGCTGCTAAGCTGTAATAAGGAAGTGGGAATGGGAGAGAGGTTTTTCAAATCCCTGAAGGCCAGCATTCACAAGTGTGCAACTCTGGAAAGGCCTGTGAAGAAGCATTCAAAATACAGGGTCTTGATCAGCAAAGCATCTCTGGGCTTCAGTTGCCTCATCTGTGAATGGAGATGTCATCCCCACCCAGACCATCCCATGGGGTGTGGTGAGAGCAAAGGACAGACCATCAACACAAAAGCACTTTGAGGGCTTTTATGCTCTGCAAATGCCGTGTCTAAAACAGCCTTGAAAATCACCAACCACCATCCCTCCTACCCATGAAAATACGAACAACGTTCTTTGAGCTGGCAGCCTGTCCGCAGGTTTACAAGGGCTCCTTGGCTTTGTTGACGGCTGTTTGGGTTTTCTTTGCAGCTGGCCAGTGGGGTGCTCCGGCTGGAATACCACTGCCTGGGTGGTTTCTATGGAAATCTTTCCTCCCAGCGCCATGTGAATGACCACGAGTGGCACTCCATCCTGGTGGAGGAGAAGGACACTTCCATTCGCCTGACGGTTGACAGCATGGGCAACACCTCCCTTGTGGTCCCAGAGAACTGCCATGGTCTGAGGCCCGAAAGACACCTCTTGCTGGGTGGCCTCGTCCTGTCGCATTCTTCCTTTAATGTCTCCCAGGGCTTTGAAGGCTGCCTGGATGCTGTCGTGGTCAATGAAGAGGCTCTAGAACTGCTGGTCCCTGACAAGACGGTTGCAGGCTTGCTGGAGACACAAGCCCTCACCCAGTGCTGCCCCCACAGCAACTACTGCAGCCAGAACCCGTGCCTCAATGGCGGGAAGTGCTCATGGACCCACGGGGCAGGTGAGGGCTGGGGTGCCAGGCTGACCCCAGGGTTTATCCCAGAAGGCTCTTCAGGTGGGAAAGGTGTGTCAGGGTGGAGATCTCAGAGCCTCCTGGTTCCAAATTTCTCACTCTTCCCCTCACTACCTTGTGAGTAACAGGTTGGAATCTGCTAGATCTAGACTAGAGGAAGCCAGGAGCATCCTTTCCCCCAACGAAAACTACCTTTCTACTTATGAGGGACAAGGGAGGATATGAATGGGGACCTCAGGAACAGACGGTTGAGTTAATCGCACACATTAGTGTCATCACGGGTCCATGCACAGCCTCTTTCTCATTTTCCTTTGACCTATATTCCACTCCCTTCCCTCCCCAACACTAGAGGCAGACACATAAAGGTTTTGAATGAGTTCTTGCAAAACACATGTTTTGCAAAAAAAAACATGTTGTTTTTCATATGCTTGAATTTCCAATTTATATAAGTGATATATATTGTTTACACTTTCTCTCAGCACCGTATTTTTCAGATCTGTCAATGCTGCCGTGAGCAATTTTCATTAACTGCTTCTACCTGGCTCAATAGTCCAGCATGTGCCTGCACTCACATTTTCCCTCTCCACCCCCCCAGTCCAAACACCCATCTCCATCATCAGTGCTGCAGTGAGCATTCTCCTGTGTGTCTCCTTGACAACCTGTGTGAGAATTTCCTTCACACACACCCCATACCCAGGGGTGGAAGTCACATGCTCACAGTATGCAAATAATTATTTTGATTAAATGGAGCTACATTGCTCTCAGCATGGCCACAGCTATCTATACATCGCATGCAGAGTGAGAGGTTCCTATGTACCCACATGCCTGTCAGCACTTTGCATTATCCCACTTCCTGATTTTTGTCTAGCTAATCATATTTTCTACCTGCAAAATATCCAAGGAGTTCATCACTTCTCTCCTGCCCCACTGCCGCCCCTCTGACCCAAGCCCTCATCACCTCTCACTCTGGCACCAGCCACCTCCCTGTTCTCTGGCTTCTCTCCCTGCCTTTCACCTTCCAGCAGGAGCCGGGGTGATCTTTGCCCAGCACAGATCTGTGCATGGCACTTTCCTGCTGAGAACTGCCCAATGGCCCCTGTGCTGTTAGGATAGAGTCCCAATCCCTGCATGTGGCTCCTGCACCTTGCAGGCTGTGACTCATACTCTCCCTGTCCCTCACTGGGCTGGCTCACCCTGGTGTGGTTTCAGTTCCTTGACCATGCCACATTCTTCCCTAGCCTTTGTACACACTCTTCTCTTCTGCCTGAAACACTTCTTTGCTCTCTATCTTCTTGCCTGGCTAATTTCTACTCATCCTTCAGATCTCAAAGGAAATATCTCCCAGGTCCCTAGAGTAAGCTAGCTTCATTCTCCACCTCTCCCAGCATTTCCCTTCAATAAAACTAATTGTGTTATAATTACTGAGATATTGATATTATAGCTAGCTGCCTAGGTTTGAACCCCAGCTTTACCATTTACTGGCTGTGTGACCTTGAACAAATCCCATCCACTCTCTGTGCCTCCTTTCCTCATTTGCCATCCCTTTGTACCTGTCCCCTGATGAGGATAGTGACAGTGATCTCAGGTCGTCGTGAGGATCAAATGAGCCAACACAGGAAGATCCTTGGAACAGTGATCAGCACTAAGCTCGTGTCTATAATTATTATCCTGTTTATTACTATGCTTTAGGTGACTGCTTTCTCTGCTGGGCTGTAAGCTGTATGAGGGCAGGGACCAAGTGCTCTTGTTCAGCAGGGCACCAATGCCCAGTACGGTGTTGGGCACAGAGGGGAACAGCCAAATAAATAAATAGTAATTAAATGGCTGTGTGAATATGCAAGTTTGCCAAGGCCAGGTCTCCTTTAATTGCTAGGCCAGTGCGCCCTCTCACGTCCCTACTCTTTCTCCCAGGCTATGTCTGTGAGTGTCCACCGCAGTTCTCTGGGAAGCACTGTGAACAAGGAAGGGAGAATTGTACTTTTGCACCCTGCCTGGAAGGTGGCACTTGCATCCCCTCCCCCAAAGGAGCTTCCTGTAACTGCCCTCATCCTTACACCGGAGACAGGTAATCCCAGGGGAGGCCACCTGCCATGGGCTCCTCACCGTGGGTTTGGCAGCACTAGGGAATGAGCTCTGTGCTCTGACCTCTAGAAAGTCCAGTGGGAGGCCAGGGGAGAGTGCTGCCGGGGCCTGGCTTCCAGGCCTTTCCAATGTGCTAGGACAGTGGTCCCCAGTCTTTTTGGCACCAGGGACAAGTTTCATGGCAGACCCTGTTTCCACGGGCCAGGCAGGAGAAAGGAAAGATGGTTTCAGGGTGATTCAAGCACATGACATGTATTGCGTACTTTATTTTTATTATTATTACACTGTAATATACAATGAAGTAATTACACAGCTCACCATCACATAGAATCAGTGGGAGCCTGAGCTTGTTTTCCTGCAACTAGACAGTCCCATCTGGAGGTGACGGGAGACACTGATAGATCATCAGGCGTTAGATCATTGTAAGGAACATGCAAGCTAGATCCCTCACATGCACTGTTCATGCTTCAGTGGGAATCTAATGCCCTCACTGATCTGACAGAAGGCAGAGCTCAGGTGGTAATGCTGGCTCACGCACTGCTGTGCAGCCCTGTTCCTAACAGGCCACGAACTAGTAGGGGTCCGTGACCCAGCAGTTGGGGACTCTTGTGTTGGGGCATCTCCCTCCAACCACCTGCATCAGAACACTTCTGGATGAAGAAGCTGCTTGTTAGAGATTTCCCCAGCCCTATTCTGAACCGACTGCCTCAGATTCACCAGTTTGGGCTTAGGAATCTGCACATTTAGCCAGCTCCTCAGGTAGTTCTGATCCTTGCTGCAGTCTGAAAATGACTGAAGTGCTTACTTTCTTGCCCTGGACCTGAACTTCCCAGTGGCCTGGGGAAAATGGTTCCACTTGGGCAGGCACTGCTGTGCCTGGTCCCCCACTGCAAGCTATCTATGCCTCATACTACGTGGGGCTGCGGCAGCGCAAGAGAAACAGAATCATTCTTAGAATCCTAGAGGGAAAGATACTTTAACAGTTATCTGGTTTTATGACTCCCAAACTTGGGAGCCTTTAAAGAATCACGGAAGAGACATGAAAAATACAGATTCATGGACCCAACCTAGACCAACTGAATCAGAATCTCCAAGAATGGGCCTAGATTCTATTTTTAACAGGCCCCCAATGGATCCCTTTGCTATTAGCCTGTGTGTAAGAGCCAGTGATGTAGTTCACCCACTCATTTTACAGCTGGAGAAACTGAGGCCCAAGCAGGGAGAGGGCTTTCCCATGATTACCCTGGGTATGTTGATTACCCCAGTTCTTTTTCTTTCCTTTCTTTTTTGAGATGGAGTTTTGCTCTGTTGTCCAGGCTGGAGTGCAATGGTGCAATCTCAACTCACTGCAACCTCCGCCTCCCAGGTAGCTGGGATTACAGGCATGAGCCACCACACCTGGCTAATTTTTGTATTTTTAGTAGAGATGGGGTTTCCCCATGTTGGCTAGGCTGGTCTCAAATTCCTGACCTCAAGTGATCTGTCTGACTGAGCCTCCCAAAGTGCTGGGATTAACAGGCATGAGCCACCATGCCCAGTTGACCCCAGTCCTTTTTCTCAGCAACTGGTGTGTCCTGCCCCATTTCCTGCCCTGCTTTGCAGTAGGGAATGCTATTCATTCATCAGATGTGTTGGAAGAACACTTCACAGCTGAAAGTGGTGTCTGTATTTTAAAAGAGGACCTTGGGGGAAGACACCATTTAACCCAAAATAACAAACAACTGGTAGGGAAATTTCAGGCATTGAGAAATGTTTTGGACTCAAACGGAATGGGGCAAACTTTCCTAATATCCCTCAAAAGTGGATAAAGCTGGCCACAGAAGTTTCCTTGGAGCTTTACACCATGGAATGCCAAGCTAGAGGGGCCGGGCGTGGTGGCTCACGCCTATAATCCCGGCACTTTGGGAGGCTGAGGTGGGGGGCATCATCTGAGGTCAGGAGTTCAAGACCAGCCTGGCAAACACAGTGAAACCCTGTATCTACTGAAAATACAAAAATTAGCAGGGTGTGATGGCAGGTGCCTGTAATCTCAGCTACTTGGGAGGCTGAGGCAGGACGATTGCTTGAACCTGGGAGGCGGAGGTTGCAGTGAGCCGAGATCACGCCACTGCACTCCAGCCTGGCAGACAAGAGTGAGACTGAGTCTTAAAAAAAAAAAAAAAAAAAAAAAAAGGAATGCCAAGCTAAAGGTACCCTGAGAGATCACATGCTTTCTCTGAGCAAGTTGCCCATTGTAAGGTAGCTGATTTGTTGGCTCCTGTGACCTCCTGGTGAAGCACAGCAGGGAACACGGGTGCCTGGCCACTGTTACTGGGCAATGCTGACTTGTATCTGAAACCCTGACATCATTGCTAGAGGGCAGCTGGTATGTCGATGTCTCTACTGCAGTGATATGGGTGGAAATCCGACCTCATGATAGAGAGTGTATCCAGTGCCTAGATCTTATTGCTAGAAAAATAATAGACATTCCCTGAGCCCAGATCCTAATGGTCACAAATGAAAATGTAGCTGAGACCCATACTTTACTGGTAGAAGGTGGAAAGTTCTGATGTTGATATGATTGTTAATTACTTTTGGGGGGTGGCGAAGAAATGGGAGACAGTAGGTTTTGTGAGAAGCAGTCTCTGTACCGTAGATCTCTGGAAGAGGGGACATGGAAAGGGCAATTTCATGACTCGGCCCCCTGACTACTTCTCCGTCTCTGCAGGTGCGAAATGGAGGCGAGGGGTTGCTCAGAAGGACACTGCCTAGTCACTCCTGAGATCAAAAGGGGGGACTGGGGGCAGCAGGAGTTACTGATCATCGTAGTGACCATAGTGTTCATTATCATAAGCACTGTCGGGCTTCTCTACTACTGCCGCCGTTGCAAGTCTCACAAGCCTGTGGCCATGGAGGACCCAGACCTCCTGGCCAGGAGTGTTGGTGTTGACACCCAAGGCATGCCTGCCATCGAGCTCAACCCATTGAGTGCCAGCTCCTGCAACAACCTGAACCAACCGGAGCCCAGCAAGACCTCAGTTCCAAATGAGCTTGTCACATTTGCACCCAACTCCAAGCAACGACCAGTGGTCTGCAGTGTCCCCCCCAGACTCCCGCCAGCTGCTGTCCCTTCCCACCCTGACAATGAGCCCATCATCAAGAGAACCTGGTCCGGTGAGGAGATGGGTAAGTATAGCCATAGGCGCTTCGCCTCTGGGATTGATGGAAGTGGGTGGTGGTCCTAAACACTCCGTTATCTGAGGCACAGGCGTTTTTAGCCACCACTCATCCAACCCTTTGGGATGGGACATGATGAGATGTGTTCAAGGTTACAGCACACTGATGCTGGAGCAGATGCTAGGTTTCTGTGGCTCATTCTACTGCATTCCTCCAAATCCCAAATCACTCCACGGGACTGAAGTTCATGATAGAAATCTGTAGACCTTGCATAGGGTTGGATAAAATCCTTGGAGTAAGAAGGGGGCTTCTGCACATTTGTGCTTTTCTGGGAAGGGAAAGGAGAAGCAGTGGTCCAGGCTTCCGGTAGCCCAATCTGGAAGTGCAGCAGCCTCGGGCCAGACCTGGCTGACGAAGAGGAGGAATCTCACCTTCCTCTCATCTTTGACTCAAAAGGAGGTGCATTAGTAAAGCACTTTATGTTTTGGCATAATCATCAGCAGTTATGATAAGTATTTTCACTGTGTGTGAAATAGAAAAAGTGGGGCTCATAAACATGCAGTGACTTGTTCTAACTCACCCAGCTATTCAATAGCAGAGGGAGGGCTAGGACTAAGGGCTCCTGGTCTCCCAATTTCCGAGCCACATCTCATTTCATCACTCTCTATGATAGAGTCCATCACACCTGTGAGTCAAACAAACTGTGTGTGTTTCCTTCAGTTAAGGGGATAAAACTCACCAGTAGGACTTTGGAGGACCCCCGTATCCCAAGCTGTGGGGGTGGGCTGCATGGAGCCATCCAAATCCTTCCCTTGTTCACTGACCCTCAGATTAGTGGCAGGGCTTTGCAAAATGGGCTGGCCTTGGGTCAAACCTCTAGCCTTGAACTTGCCCCCATTGGATTCTATATATCAACCTAAGCCACCAGGGACAACCTGCACAGGTGGGCTCCCCACCCCCATCTCCACTACACGCTAGGTTATATATAGCTGCTATAGAGCCAGCTGAAACCCTCCCTGGGGAAAATGAGCTGACCCTGTCTTCTTGTTCCCTTTCAGTGTACCCTGGCGGAGCTGCAGTCTGGCCCCCTACTTACTCCAGGAACGAACGCTGGGAATACCCGCACTCCGAAGTGACCCATGGCCCTCTGCCACCCTCGACTCACCGCCACTCAACCCCAGTCGTGATGCCAGAGCCCGCTGGCCTCTATGGGGGCTTCCCCTTCCCCCTGGAGATGGAAAATAAGCGGGCACCTCTCCCGCCTCGTTACAGCAACCAGAACCTGGAAGATCTGATGCCCTCTCGGCCCCCAAGTCCCCGGGAGCGCCTGCTTGCCCCCTGTCTCAATGAATACACGGCCATCAGCTACTACCACTCACAGTTCCGGCAGGGAGGGGGAGGACCGAGCCTGGCAGAGGGGGGCTACAAGGGGATGAGTATGCGCCTCAGCCGAGCTGGGCCCTCTTATGCTGTCTGTGAGGTGGAGGGGGCACCTCTTGCAGGCCAGGGCCAGCCCCGGGTGCCCCCTAACTATGAGGGCTCTGATATGGTGGAGAGCGATTATGGGAGCTGTGAAGAGGTCATGTTCTAGCTTCCCATTCCCAGAGCAAGGCAGTTGGGAGGCCAAGGACTGGACTTGGTTCTTTCTTCCTGTCTCGTAGAGGGTGAGTTGAGTGTGGCTGGGAAGGTGGGAGGGAAGCCACCACCCCCAGCCCAGGCTGCTGTCCCTTGAAATGTGCTTTTCTGGTCCCCCAGTTAGTCCCTGAGAGTGGAAGGAAGCTGAGGCTAGAGCTCCAGAAACAGCACTAGGGCCCCAGGGAAGAGGCATGCGTACAGCAGGGACCCTGGAAGACCAGGAACAATTGACTCCCAGGGTGGGCGAGAGACGGCGGTCTTCCTGACCTGCCATCTCTCAGCCCCCAGGGATGAGCCTGATCTACTGACCTGCCCACAGCTCCATTTTGGAGGCAGGCAGGTTGGTGCCTGACAGGCAACCAATACATGGGCCGTACAGAGGAGCTCTAGAGGGCCGCACGGCGTCCTCCTAGGGGCTGCGGTGAGCAGCAGGAGAGCAGGCACAGTCACCTGTGCTCCTGCCTCCGTCAAGCACTCATGGCGTCTTTGTCACGTGTCGGCTCCACGTCAAGCACTGCGCTTTGCACCGGGGAGAAAATGGTGATGGAGGGCAACAAGGACTCCGAGGAGCATCGCCGGGCCTCGGTCCCCAAAGGTCCGGCTCCGCAGCCCCCACGCAGAGGACTCGGCCCCGCCTCAGAGTCACACGATGGTCTGCCAGTCAGGGCCTGCCAGGAGTCTACGCAGCTCTGAACCTTCTTTGTGACAGAATTCAGACCTCATGGAACTCTGAGTTCTTCATCCCAAGTTTCCCAGGCACTTTTGGCCAAAGGAAAGAAGGAACTAATTCTTCATTTAAAAAATTATTAGGCACTTTTTGACCTTGCTGTCTGGATGAGTTTCCTCAACGGGATTTTTCTTCCCTAGACACAAGGAACTCAGAACTCCTATTTAGGGCAGGTTGGAAGCAGGGAGCTGGACCCCAGTGTCCAGGCTGGACACTGACCGTTGCCTGTCTCTCCATCGCAGACGCCTGCCCATCAAGTGTTACCTGCAGTGACTCAACCCTATGCATGGAGGGTCATTGTGGGCACATGTCTACACATGTGGGTACCCATGGATAGTATGTGTGTACACATGTGTAGAGTGTATGTAGCCAGGAGTGGTGGGGCCCAGAGGCCTCTGTGGCCTTTGGTGGCCTCACCACTCCCTCCCATCCAGTCCCTCCCTGTGGTCCACTGCCTTTTCATGTGTGTTGTTTCTGGAGACAAAAGTCAAAAGGGAGAGCAATGGAGACTTGCCCACAGGGCTGCTGCTTCAAGCGAGAGGGAGCTATGTGGGTGAGAGCCAATTTGTGCGAGTGGTTTGCGGCTGTATGTGTGACTGTGAGTGTGAGTGACTGATACATGGTTCCATTGGTCATTTTTTTTTTAACAATAAAGTATCTTTTTTACTGTTATTTTCTGTGTCATTTAGCCTGTTTGGGGTCGGTGGATAATGCAGGGGTCCACGGGCCCTTCCAAGATTCATAGATTTGGGGAGCTGGGAGGGATCCTAGGGATTATCAAGCACAGAGAGGCCTGATCTGGCAACATTACCTACCCCAGACACAAAACCAGAACTTCTGGGGATGGGGCCTAGGAAACTATTTGGAAAGAACCCTCTGCCTCTGACACAACTGTCTGCAGTGGTTCGAGTGGCTCTGAGTGATGAGTCCACTAACCAGCAGGCTAGCTGAGAGCCCAGGACAAGAGCTGGGGCCTCCTGCCCCTGCCAGCACCCTTTGCACTGCATGGCATTAGTTATGGAGAAGGGACTTAACTATCACAATTCTTGGGAAGCCGGCCCTCCTGGGACCCAGAGTCAGCCTGTGGGTGCTGCTCCACAGCGCACCTGTAGTCACCAGCTAAATGTGACTTCACAAGGCAACCATGATGACACGAAGACAGGAAAGCCCAGTCCCTGCCTTTAAGTTCCCAATCCAGCTGGGCAAAGAAGGCATGCCCGTGGCAGACACCACGCAGGCGATGGCTCTGAGGTGGGTCAGGCTTGATTCCAAGCCCAGCTCTGTCACACACTAATTATGAGGCCTCCAGCAGACACGACTTGGCCTCTCATTTTTTAAGAGAACTTTTTTTAGAGCAGTTTTACGGCTCACAACAAAATTAAATGGAAGGTACGGAGATATGTCCCCCACTCCCATGCATAGCTTCCCTCATTATTTATTTGTTCTTTTTATTTACTTATTTATTTTGAGACAGAGTTCCCTCTTGTTGCTCAGGCTGGAGTGCAATGGCACCATCTCGGCTCACCACAACCTCCACCTCCCAGGTTCAAGCGATTCTCCTGCCTCAGCCTCCTGAGTAGCTGGGATTACAGGCATGCGCCACCATACCCAGCTAATTTTGTCTTTTTAGTAGAGATGGGGTTTCTCCATGTTGGTCAGGCTGGTCTCAAACTCACACTCAGGTGATCAGCCCGCCTTGGCCTCCCAAAGTGCTGGGATTACAGGTGTGAGCCACCGCGCCTGGCCGCCTCCCTCATTATTAACATTCCCCACCAAGGGTATAGTTGTTGCAACGGGCAACTCTCCATTGACAGGTCATTATTACCTGAAGTCCACAGTTTACATTAGGGTTCACTCCTGGTGTTGCACATTCTATGAGTTTGGACAAACGTAAAATATGTATCCAGCATTACGGGCTCTTGTAGATAGTTTCACTGCCCTAAAAATCCTCTGTGCTCTGCCTGCTCATCCCTCCCTGCCTCCTAACCCCTGGCAACCAAGAAACTTCTTGCTGTCTCCATAGTTTTGTCTTTTCCAGGATGTCATATAGTTAGAATCATACGGTA